TTTTTTTTTGTTTCATGTATCCTTCATTAATTTTCCTTTGAACCCTACAATGAAACGTACCCGGGTGCAATAGAATCGACCCCTCCTGGTAGGAAGTGACTTCAGTGAAGAAGACAATGCCATCGGTATCAGCACCGATTCGGACGAGGAGTAAGATACCACTTACAAGACAGATGTAACCGAGCCGGATGATGGTCCAAGCCTATGAAAATGCCCTCGGTCGAACGAAACCCACCCTACCTTAGGGCGAGGTCTATTCAACGATGTATATAAACCCGCCTCCCCTGCTTTCAACACGACCAAGAAGAGCCAACGCCAGAGTGGACAGCGAGTAGCTTATCTGTTTGTGGCTATGTACCTTGGAAGAAAAAAGATCCAGTCCATTCCCTGGAAACCCTCCCCCAACCCGGCAAAGATACTTCCTACGGCAGATTTGGTTGAGGAAGAGCACACGTCCCATTACAAGCCGCAGCACTTTTATCCTGTACGTCTTTATAAGATACTCAATCACCGATACCAAATCGCTGCCAAAGATAGGCTGGGGAACAAGTTCGACAGTATGGCTAGCGCGTGATCTCCACCAGTATGTGACGATTATCTGATAATAGATTCAAGCCTTGTCTCACTATGTCATAGTTCCATATGCTTTCCGCCCCGATATGTGGCCATTAAAGTTAAGGCAAATAATTATGCATCTCAAGAGTCTACGGAGAAGGAGCTGCGCATAACTGAGCATATAAGCAAAGCAAATCCCCAGCATCTAGGCCGCAACTTTGTCGCCACCTTAGTAGACTCGTTTCGTGTTACTAGCCGGGGCAGCACTCATATTTGCATGGTCTTCGATGCGCTTTGTGAACCACTATGGATGATGAAGCATCATTACGAGGGAAACACCATCCCTCTCAACGTCTTGAAACCCGTATCTAAACTCGTACTAGAAGGACTACGGTACCTCCACACCGAATGCCACGTTATTCACACAGGTAACTAGCTATTCAACCGATCTATTTCTAGGATCGGTCACAGCTAACGGAAAAACAAGATCTCAAGTCCGATAACATCTTACTGGCCCTACGCAACTCGTCTACCCTGGAAATGGTCGCACTAGATGAGATGAACAATCCCTCCCCACGGAAACAAGTGGGATGGTCGGAATATATGCCTTTCCCGCAATTTCTGGGGACTGTCGCCCGACGACCTGGGTAGACCGGTAATAACCGACTTCGGGCTTGCTGTGCGTGGTGATGGCCCCCCGAACAGCCACCCCATCCAGCCAGAGGGATATCGTGCCCCGGAAGTTTGTCTCGGGGGCGAGTGGAGCTACAGTGTTGACATTTGGAACTTGAGAGTTATGGTAAAGACCTCGTTATCTACTATAATCGTGGATCACTACTAATAGTCTATCAGCTTTGGGACCTGTTTTATGGCCGCGGACCATTCGACACGCCACCGGACTCGCGCGGCTCAGGCTCTGCAGACGAAGCTCATCTAGGCCAGATAATTTCCCTCCTGGGGCCCCCTCAACCTGATCTTCTCGGCCGGGGAAATAGAAACATCTCGGTATTTTGACGATAAAGGTATGCTGGCCATGTCCTAACTAGACGAAGCTAACTATTTTGATAGGACAATTCAAATTCCCCGAGCTCATCGGAAAAAAGGACCTGTTCTCTATGGCCAAAGAAATAAATGATGACGGCGGGGTTGCCCAATTTCTAGACCTTATTTCTAAAATGCTGCGCTGGAGGCCCGAGGACCGGACTACCGCGGAGGACCTGCTTTCCCCATCCGTGGCTTCCACAAATGAGACCCTACGAATGAGTGCGAAAAGGGTTATATGTATAGTAAATAAATATCTCTTCGCTCAAGAAACCTGACTGTTCAGGCGTTTCTTTCCGCACCACGATCCAGATCCCCTCGACCTCACCTGGATTAGTGTGAAGGCCACCTCTGGAAGGGGACCTGGGATGTGCCCATACAGCCTGCATCGTGAAGGGTGGCGGCCAGCGAGAACTGAGGTGATGGTGATTCAAGTAGTCTTTGCCGCGGGCGTTTCTTCTCCATCGACGGCAGCTTCTCTTGTAAGCAGAGAATGTTTTACCAGTGAAGGCGTCTATTAGCAGATCTTCTTCAATAGCATAACTCACCCTGGCACAGTGTGGAACGGCGTAACGAGTTGTGAGGAACGAAAGGAAGAGGAAAGGAGGAGGGGGGGGGTTCATACTCCAGTGGCCCTGGTTAGGAGCCTGGGCGCCTCACGCTAATACACTCTCAGAGAGACCATACTGAGTCGGAGCTTATTCTGTCGTATGCGATCATCGTTCTGGCGTATCAGGGTGCTTCTGTATATCATACGTGTAAGTAGGGTCATTGAGTGAGAATTATCCGGGCAATCCTTCAAATTGATTAGCCTCCCAAACATGTTGTCGTATCGTCGCTTTTCCTTACTTCAGAACCTTTCCACATGAAGAAGAGCTTTACAGGATTTATAGATTTATATAGTGCTTTTGAGAAGTTATGTGCTACTACTACGTACGCCTACAGTCCATTACAGTGGTTTGAGATGTTAACGTAACAGACGGACGCTTAATGACCCGCTGATGGCGTGGGATATATGGAAAGGGAGCGCTGAGCTTCCTGATGTCCATTAATCTTAGATTCAGCCTGACAGATCACGAGCTTTCTGCTCTACGAAAGGACAAAAGCACATGCTTCACGCGAATTCTTGATAAGAACTCGCGTAAGCAGTAGGTACATGGTTGGTTCAGATCATCAACAATGGACTACCTACTCTCGTGTCATAATCACTTGATAGAGCATGAGGTCCACAGTCATTCCAATTATTCCTACACTGGGTTTATCAGTGGTGTTCTTTTGGCTGGATCTATTTAGGACAGCCAGTCGCAGCCAAATTTTGAGACTCATTGATATCGAAGATAAGATCCCTGCATGCAACCTTAATTGACCCGTAATAAGATGAACATGCTCCCTAAATGGCAACATACTACGAGTGCCTAAGCCTCCACCTGGACGGACCCAGGGAACAAAACAGCCTCAGCCGATATACCAAGGATACTGAGAAATCCCACTCTGACGCGCGATTACCGCCCGCCAAAACCGGGGAACTGATCAAACAATACCCCTCAATGCTGTTGGCAGGGATACCTCGCCGGAAATCTATATTTGATAGTATTATGAAGACCCTGCTTCTGTTAAGATGCACGGTGACGTTTCTTCCCACGGAACACGGACAATTGTTGTTAATGCATCTCTGTATGTGAGATTCATTGTCAATGAACCTTTTCAGCGTTATCATTGAGTCGGGAATTCCTTGGGTGGCCTGAAGGGCGTGCTTGAACACCGTGCGCCATATCCGTATTTCGAGCTAAAAGGGCAATATTTCAGCCATCACCGCAACAAAGATCAGTGCAAATGCTGTAGGTCATAGGACCGGGATCTTCTACTAGTAATCATGGATCGCATCAATGGCAATAATGCAGGCGAGAACGAGGATTTAAGGTCCCATGATCAACTGTATGACGAACAGGTGCTCTTCCAAACCGTGTAACAAGGGCCTAGAGCGCCGTTGGCTGGGTGGTGGTGGTCAGACAAGGAGGTAGCATGATAGGTAATAAATATTACCTTCCCAGAAGGGAAGCAGTCAGAGAAGCCCGGGCCGGTGGTGGACAATTCATGGGTTCGAGGCCGTATGTGGAGACCATACGGCAGAAGGGGATTGATTCTAGGGTTAAGGATCTGCAGTAAGCCAACCACAGCAGTCTTCAGCAGATCAGCAAAACTCCCATTGGTTGGCAATTTTAGGAGCTTTTTCAACTCCTTGCATATTGTGCCCTTGCTCCATTATCATGACAGGACTATGAAAACAACACTGCCTCATTGTAAGCTGAAGGCGTTGATAGTAAATACAAATTGAATTGAGGAGCTGAAGGGAAAGCAAAATCAAAAAAGAAAGATAAAAGAAAAAAAAAAGAAATAAAAAGAAAGCCACGCGAGTGACAAGAAATGGCGCAAACAATCCATTTCAGATAACTAAAAAGCAGTGGGCGGGTTTGACCGACAAATCTCCTGCAAGGCATTGTAACCATTGACTTGGAAATGTAACAAAGTGATTAGCAAAAGCTATGGGTGTACAGCGATATCGGCAATGTGTACTCCAAATTTTTGCCGGAGATGCGATTGTGCTAAACACCAGATTTTGACGTCTGCGTCAACAGTGCAGCGATGTGGGTCGGAAACAGACTGATTTTGGGGTTAGAGACAACGTCCTCTTGCGCATGCCCTGGGGGAGCGGGCGAAGCCTCGGCAGATGGAGGGTCGCTGGAAAGCCGGCATAGTAGAAGCTTTGGGGATTGATGTCCTTCCCCGTCGCCGCTTACTCGTGGGGGTTATCCACCGCCCTTTACCGAGCGGCGCCACCCATCGGCTCATAATATTTTTTGTCCCTTTTTTTTTTCTGTACTACAATCCGGAGTGTATAGCGTTCTGATTTAGAATTGGCGTTTATCTGTTGACCGGGGTACCCTTCGTTATAGAAGAAAATTAAAGATTCAGGAAGGCTGGAGATGGCGCCTTCGCCTTGCATTGTTCGCACGAGTCAGACCACAAGGGAGGGTTGGCAATACGTACTTTACACTCAAACCCCTGGCAGGGTATCAATGGCTAGCAGCCGCTTTCTTTTCCTGGTACTCCCCATGGTGGAGATAGTTCTAGTTTTAGTAGCCTCCCGTTAGTTCCGGTAGAACAGATCGGGGTGTCCGTGGGACTAAATAACATCTTTGTCCCCGTCATCCATCATTCTTATTTAGTCCATTGTCCATGGTCGATGTTGCTCAAGTCTGTGGCGAATTCATAGTGTGACCTTTATCTTCACGCAACACTTAACTTGGCTTTCTTGGTAAAGGTCATTCGTCGAGAGCCTGGCCTCCGTTCCCCAGAGTCGATCCTTTAGATTGGTAACTTGACGTTCCACGGACTTCTTGTCACCATGGTAGCACAGGCGAAGACACCTCTCCAGGTGATTGTTGTTGGGTAGGTTGGAAATTTGACATTCTTGATGTGGTCGAAATGATCGTGCTAATCTTAGTATAGGGCCGGTATGCTTCCACTTTTCCTGGAAGTTGGAAGAAAGTTCTGACGCTGATGGATACAGGAATTGGTGGCATGGCAGCAGCCCTGACTTTGGGGTCAAAAGGACACCATGTCATAATTCTGGAATCTGCTCCGAAAGTATGCAGCCAAGGTCCCACTGCTGTCGAAATATTTGCTAATCAGACCCATGTATAGCTCCTGGAGGTCGGTGCCGGTATTCAAGTTTCCCCGAATATGTTACGGCTTTTTGACCGTGAGTATTTTCCGTTACTCTCGAATTGAGGATGTTGCTGATTCCAAACAAGGCTGGGGCGTATCTCCGTTAATCCACTCTAAAGATGTTGCCCTGGAGCATATCCATGTCCGCCGGTGGCAAGACGGTAGCCTTTTAGGGACGATGCCCGTAAACAAGACATACGGTCAGCAGGTAGTTATTCATCGTGCAGATCTCCATAACGCCCTAATTGAGCGAGCGCTGGCGCTACCAAATGTGGAACTTCGAGTAAACTCGACCGTCACCGATGTTCAATTTGACCCAGCATCTGTGACGTTAGCCGATGACACTATTGTTCAAGGGGATGTTGTGATAGCTGCTGACGGCATTAAATCTACCATCCGCGGACACCTACTTGGCGAGGACGCGCCCTCTAAGGTCATCCCAACAGGTGATGCAGCCTATCGGATCATGTTGCCACGAAGCGCGATGGAAAAAGATCCAGAATTGAGAGAACTAGTGGACGAGCCACAAGCAACTCGTTGGCTCGGTCCTGAGCGCCACATCATTGCCTATCCCGTTCGCAAGCATGAGCTCTTCAACGTGGTACTACTTCATCCGGATGGACATGGCGTGGAGGAGTCGTGGACCACCAAAGGATCGAAGGAAGAAATGGTGGACAACTACCGCGGCTGGGATCGAAGGGTGCGGAAGCTCATTGACTTAGTTGCGGAAGATGAAGTTCTTGAGTGGAAGCTCTGTTTGCATTCTCCATTGAAAACTTGGATTAAAGGTAGTGTGGCGTTAATTGGTGACGCTTGCCATCCTATGCTGTCAGTCCCCCTCTATTTACTCACGAGAGGCCTATCCAACTAACGTCCCATTCAGGCCATACGTGGCTCAAGGCGCCGCGCAGGCTGTCGAAGATGCTGCCGCCCTGGGTGTCCTTTTATCAACAATTTCATCCAAAAATGAAATACCTATGGCCCTCCAGGCATACGAAAAGTCCCGGAAGCAACGCGCGGAGACAGTTCAGCAGTCCGGCTCGGCGAACCGTATCACGCTGCATTTTCCTGACGGGCCAGAACAGCAGGCTAGAGACGAGCAGTTCCGTCTATCGATGACCGGAGGGTCTAATCCCGATCGATGGACTGATCGTGAGACGCAGAATTTCTTATGGGGATGGGATGCCGAGAAAGCTGCCCTGGAGGCCTGGAATGGTAAGATACCCAATGTTTTTCACTTCAGTTCCTTTCTTTATCATTGAAAAAGATGAAACCTTAAACTAACTTAAATATTCTGCAGAAATACGCGATGAGAGTGTGCTTGAACCGCGTCATCACTTGTAGTGGGGTTCTTTCAACCCAGTGGTCGGATTAAATGCTTAGGCGCACGTGCGCCGTACAGCACCATGTTCTAAGTGAACAAAGGGCTACTTCCACATATATTAAGCGATTGGTTTCATGTTTATACAGCGCTCGACTCATGTATATACCGAGGTTTCTTTAGCTGTTCCTACTTTGAGGACCGGATTTATGTAAATATGGTCGGAACATGATTTATATTACGATTATAGATTAAAAGCATTCAGTACTATCAATGAGAGACACATAAGCTTGGACTAAAGCTAAAGTAGTTCTATCTAGATTGATGGATCTCTAGTTTGTGTATATATCATCTAAAGCCATCATATATCTATGTGTAAACCTCACGAGCCATGTACCGTCTAGCGCTATATTTTTTCCTGTCGCTTTCTCAGGAAAGGTCCAGCGCCACGGCGAGAGAATCCCCATCGAATTTGGTTAGCCATTGAGATCTCCACATTCAGATCATCAGCCCAAGTCCAAACTAATCCCGGATTCTTTTGAAAGCCACGGCCGACCATGACGAAATCCAGACCCTCCTTCTCCAATAAGGAGTTAGCCAGCTGGGCCGAGTCGATCATGCCCACTGACCCTACCTTCAGCTTATCCCCAACTGCCCGTTTGACAGCGACAGCAAATGGAGCCTGGAAGCCTGGTTTCGCATGGATGTGTTGCGCCTGGTGAGTGCCACCACTGCTGATGTCAATCAAGTCAATGTAGCCGCTCTCGGCGAGCGTTTGGGCAAACTTGACGGTGTCCTCTACTTTCCAGCTGGGCTCTGACGGCCTCGACTCTTCTAACCAGTCGGTGGCAGACACGCGCAGAAACACGGGTTTACCCTCGGGAACCGCCTCTCTGGTCAGTTTGGCAATCTCCATACTGAGGCGAATGCGATTTTCAAAGCTTCCGCCATATTCATCCGTTCTCTTATTCACGGCGGGGGAAAGGAACGACATGAGGAGATACCCATGTGCGTTATGAATCTCAACGAAGTCCGCACCCGCCTTAACAGCTCGTTTGACTGCGCTCACCCATGCGACTTTCAAGTTTTCGATATCTTGCTTTGACATCTCCTTGGGCGTAGGGTTCCGATCATTGAATGGAGCATCAGTCGGACCTTTGACATGATCGGGCCAGCCGCCTACATTTTTAGAGGCAGTGTCATTCATGGATAGCCATGGGGCAACCGTGCTTGCCTTGCGGCCGGCGTGGGCGATTTGGACCCCGATCAGCTGGTTTTGACTGTGAACGAACTCAATGACGCGACGCAAAGGTTCGATCTGCGAATCTTTCCACAATCCCAGATCTTCGGGGGTGATACGGCCCTCGGGTTCAACCGCAGTTGCCTCAACCACGAGGAACCCTGGTCCACGCTGGGCAATTCCCCCGAGATGGGCCATATGCCAGTTTGTCATATGGCCATCGTCACCTGAATACTGACACAACGGCGAAAGCTGTACATTTCAAATTATTGTCAGCATAACCGTTTGATAATCAGGGATTCTGGTTCTTTTACTCCGATGCGATTATGAAAGGTCAAACCCCGCACGGAGAGGGGTTGGAACAGCTTCGGAGGGGCCGTTCCATCTGACTGCGGGTTGGCTGCTGTTCCCGCGGGAGGCTCTTGAGCGGGTGTAAAGTAGGAGATTCCGGGTGCAGCTTTGTTTACAATATCCGGAAGTTCTCGCGAGTTCATGATGTTCGACTCAACGAAGAAAAGTTCGATGGTTCGGTGGACGAGGGTGCCGCTGCGATCGAGGGTGGAACAATAGACGAGATGGTATCATGTCTGGACTCTCAATCGTATGCTTTTTTGACTTAGTAAAGTCTATTTTGGTCTCTGCATTAATAATATGTCCAATGAGTTGTGATAAACTGATGATGTCACCTGGTAGAGTCCTCGGATGCAACGGGTATCGACTGATTCTGATTATACCACTCATCTTCACCTCGGCATAGAATGAGAAAAGATCTGATAATTTCAAATTCACAAAATAAACAGGCAACACATGTCTGAAAGCGGCAGCTCTTGCTACCGTCGGTTTAGAGCAGTATGCTCTGTACAATAGAAATGCCCTGAATGGTCATTGGACGTCTAACCTATTGTTCTATTGTTCAATGCTTGGCGGATTGCGTACACTTGGGGGTATCCGAAGCTCATGTTAAACAATGAGAACGGGAAGAGGGAGAAAAATAAAAGAAAAAGGTAACGAAGAAAGGTAAAAATAATGATAATAATAATCAGCGTACTCTCTGTGAGCATTCCAAGTCGCTTCGGTATCAATATATCGAGGTGTGCTAGAATATAGTACATAAAAGCTAAGACTGTATTGCAGGAACCCCGGCCGAACTGGGAGGAGACACAAAGCTTAGGGTGGACATCCATGCTTTTGGCAATTCCTTCAATCTGGATCCTGCTGCTTGTGTTTGACTCGTAGACATCTCCTACGTATTTGCCTTGAAAGTTGACTGAATCAACATAAGGAGTGTCACAAAGGAAACTATTGGATTTTAGTGAAACTCGAGATCCCGCAGATTCCGTTTATTCGGCGCTGTTTCGAATGCTGTAAGAATCTCACAATCGCCACCGGCCATGTGCAACAGCAGTGAAACCTAGCGAGCATTGAGGTCCATTCTATATAATAGGTTTCTTGAACTAATTTTGAGCCTTCTGCCAGGCCTCTCTTTTCGATGCCTTTTCCATAGGGTGGACCCGATGAGGGAGGCTCCTATTGGCCTACTGTAGCACTTAGATAAGATGATCCGTGCCTGAGGAACCAATGGTGGTGCTCGCTTTGAGATTTAGTTCCCCCGTTCCATCGTCCACATCACAACCAACGGAAAGGTCACGACGATAAATCATATAATATTTCGGACAGTGGCCTCAGATTTGAGTTGAGATGGTTTGAAGGAGCCGCAATGGGTCTCGTTCCTCAAGGATATAAAACGAGCACGAGTACTGAGACTGTTCCCTGAAAAAAGAAGAAGAAAAAAAAAAAAAAAACCACAAAAAAAAAAGATCAGCAACGCATCGCGTCGCTTTGAAACCCGATTGATTTAGTTCGGTGCGGCGGTGGAGACCAAGTTGGCTTTCATTGTTGTGTACCTAGGTAACTTTCAGCCAACCGCACTGACCAGTGGTCGGGCTGCAGATCGTCTGTCAGCAACAAAGACATCGTGAATATCGATTTCAATAGGTGACTGAACTCTCTCCTTAACGGTTGTAAACCATTGTTCTATTCCGAACTATTTAAAGCCCCATGAAGTCGCCCCGTGACACCTCTCTACGACAATCAAAACCTCTCTTTGATCTAATTCAGACTCCGGAGTGACCGCAGCCTCTGCTCACAATGACGGGACTCCCCTGGGCGACGGTCTATATCGCGATCGCTGGGTATGCAATCGTCAAATCGACCTTCGGCAATTTCATCCTTCTATCAATCCTGGTCTCTCTGCTCAAGGTTTTCTATAATTGGGTGCTGTATCCAGACTTTTTCACGCCGATCAAGAAAATTCCATCGCCTCCCGTAAGTCTTCTATCTCAATCACCGACGCCGGTGGCTGTGGGATTTCTAATGAATGGTGGCGCAGGGTCGATCGTGGCTCACAGGCAATTCCGACACAGTCTTTTTGGAGGCGCCTTATGAGCATATGCACAAATGGCTGGAAAATGTGCCAAATGACGGGTTGATCCGCTATTATGTCTCTATTAATCTAGAGCGCATCTTACCAGTGGGCCCACGAGCTTTGAAAGAGATTCTGGTCACCAAGTCGTATGACTTCCCGAAACCTGAATTCATCAGAGCAAGCCTCAAACGTTTAGCCGGGGAACATGGGTTGCTCCTCGTAGAAGGGGACGATCATAAGGTCCGGACATAGACCATCATTTACTATCTCTCCTGTTGTGGCTAACTTGCAATAGAAATCAAAGAAGAACCTTCTTCCGGCATTCGCCTATCGCCATGTTAAAGAGATGTATCCGATCTTCTGGTCAAAGAGTATCGAAATGGTGAGGGTAATGGACGAAGACCTTCGAAAAAAGGCTGACCTAACGGACAATGTCCTCCGCATGGGAGCGTACGCCAGTAGGACGGCGCTCGATATCGTTGGGGTTGCCGGGATGGACCATGACTTTCAATCTCTTCGTGACCCTAACAACAAGCTGGTTAGAACATATCAGAACCTTATGAGTGAACCGCCATTGTACATGAAGATTATCTTCCTCCTAACGCTGCTCCTGGGCGACCCTGCCTTCGTTCATGACCTGCCCCTCGAGAGGAACAGGAGTATTGAGCGAAGTTCTGAAACTATCCGAGATGTGGCACGACAGATGATCCGGCAGAAGAGAGCGAAATGGGAAAGTGGGTCCTCCACCTCAGAAGATATTGATATTGTCTCTGTTGCCCTGCGGAGCGGGAATTTCACCGAGGAGGAGCTGGTAGACCAAATGATGACCTTCTTGGGTGCCGGACATGAAACCACATCAACTGCCTTACAGTGGTGTGTGTACGCCTTATGCAAACACCCCGATATACAGAACCGACTCCGCGAAGAGATCCGTGCAAACCTCCCGTCTATCTCGACGGAGAACCCCCAGCCGCCTGCTGCTGCTGATATCGATAATCTCCCATATCTCAATGCATTCTGTAATGAAGTCCTTCGCTTTCACCCGTCTGTGCCTGCCACTATTCGCTGTGCTAGTCGAGACACAACGATCATTGGAGAGCCCATTCCGAAGGGCACATTATTCCTGATTGCCCCCGAAATCATCAATAAGAGCAAAGAGTTCTGGGGCCCCGACGCCGACAAGTTCGACCCAGAACGCTGGCTAGGCCCTGGTCGGGCCAACAATGGTGGTGCTGACAGCAATTATGCCAACCTTACGTTTTTACACGGACCACGGAGCTGCATCGGCCAGGGATTCGCTAAAGCAGAGCTGGCCTGCATGGTGGCGGTCGTTGTGGGCAAGTACCATATGGAGCTGAAGAATCCCCATGCTCTACTCGAAGTCCGACAACAAGCGACTGTCTGCCCTAAAGACGGTGTGCTTGCTAAGTTTACTACTATAGAGGGGTGGTGACGAAATGACCCTGTTGAATTCATTTTTGTACATTAATGTCGATCTACTTACTGCTTGGATATCTAGGAATTAGGGATCTAGCTGTGGCAACTCACTATGGAAGTGGTTGGTGTTCCTTTGGCGGTTGAAGCATTCGTTTCTATCATGATATCACTTCCTGTATTTCTCATCTTTCTGCTTTAAATTTCACGCTATCAAGCTACAGGCTCCAGCATCAAACCTGAACAAGAATGAGACAGAATAGTACCACAAATCCACCAAAAAGAGTCTGGTCTGAATAATTCATTTAATACGGCTCTCTGAAGACCATCACATTCTCGATATCGTTCCCAACGCCATCCTCTTCCACCCACGCCCTCCACATCCCTCCGCAATTGAAATCAAACACCACCTTCCCCTGTCCCAATCCCACCCCAGACACAGGCACTCCCGTATCCTCATCGACCTCCACCTCCGCCTCAATCCCAATAATACCCCCTTCACCCTCCCCGGTAACCCCCCAACGCCCCCCAGCGGAACGCTGCAACTCACCACCCGGCCCAGCAACAGCAGAAACAGCATCCGCCAGCGTAGGCGTCCACCCCGAAAAACGAACCATAGCACAGGCCGTCCTCGCCGCCGCAACCCTCAGAAAAGAATCCCCATTCCCAGTACCCGAAACAGCAACAGCCCGTCTCTTGACTCTATTCTCCGGACTAGAACACATCACCATCTTCTCCCCCAGTCCCCTCTCCAAAGGAACCTCCATAGGCAAAGACACATAGCCCCTACCCCTTTCCCTGCTATTAAAGAACGACAAACAACTCCCCAACACCCCATCCAACAACCCTCCCCCTTCACGCTCCTCGCCATCTTCTACAGCATTACACTGAACGTCCCACCCCTCCGCCCAAAACCCACTCCCCAAAGTCGGCGTATCCCCAATCCGTCCAGGCCACTTATTCGTCCGCCCCCCGGTACTAGTCGCAACAGCCACCCCACCCCACATATCAAGACAAACACACCCCACCGTCCCCTGACTAAAACTGACCGGCTCAGGATCGCCCCGCAGACCCCGGAGATGCTCGTCCCACCGTCGTTGCGTCCAGAACCACTCATCAGGCATGAACTCCAGTCCCCACTCCCTGGCCTTCATCTCCACATACGGCGCCACAAGCTGCGAATGCATGCTGCCCCCGTCCTCACTTCCATTCACCCTAGATCCGGTCCGTAAGAGTGACTCCTTGGCGGCCAGAATCGGGTGTCGAACGTTCTTCAACCCCATAACGCCTGCGCCCCTCTTGGTCGACCCTGGGTAATCGGGAGAGGAATCATCAGAGACGAGAGACGTTACCATGAGAGAGGCTTCCATTTCAATGGTCCCCGCGGAAGTGAAGACACTTCCGCGGCCGCAGTTGAAGAGCTCATCGTCTTCGAGGAGAGTTACGGCGTGGACTGCGGCGTCGAGGGCTGTGGAGCCGGATTTGAGAAGGGCGTGCGTGGAGCGGAGGTAAGTGAGCAGGGAAGTTTGGTATTGGGCGTAGAGGGATGGGGGGAGGGTGGATCTTTTGAGGGCACCCGCGCCGCCGTGGATTATTAGGGTTGGTTTGAAGAGAGGTTTTCCTTTTTTTGAATTGGGTTTGGGTTGGGACATTTTGGATTTGAATTTATCTATTGTGTTGATGTTGGTGTTGTTGGAAGTGGTATGGGGCAGTGTTTGTTGGCTGCGGGGGGCGGGTTCTTATATGCAGGTTTTGGGCGGTTGGAGACAGGGTTTGGGGTTAAAGTTTGGTTGGTCCTTTTGGCTTAGAGGGATTGGAATGGATGTTGGTTGCCCTGATAGATAATGAGTAATTGATTCTTTAGAGGTGATTTCTAGGATGGAGTCTTCTTGTTTCTTGTTTTCTTATCTCGGAATAATCTGGGGATGGAAGGAATGACTTACCCGCCGATAACCAGAGATAAGCATGGCGCTGGTCTTATGCATCTATCTCTTTCTTGTTCCTGTTCTTCCTCATTTATAATGATGTATTCATCGGACTCTAGAGGGAAACATCCGAGCATCATCATTGGTAGACTGCAGTGTATAGGAGACTGATATCACATTATACCATTTATCGGAAGTTAATATACAAGAAAGTCCAGCCTTGGAAACCCCAAGACCGGCGTCGAAGATTCTTTTCCCCCCATCAACGTAATGAACATGCGAATGCAATGCTGTGCACTCCAACAAACCAGGCTAAAACAATACAAGAGGATTAAGAGCAGGGATAGAAGCACAATAGGAATAGCAACCTCTATAGTATGCCCCCAGAAATGATGACCACACCCAACACCTGAGAAGAGAGATACGTGATAATAATGTAGCATATGGATCGGATTCGGGAAGGAGGGATCGTAGCTGGGGGTTGATTTATGCAGCGACCTTGTCGCCAGATGGGGGAGCAGGAGGGAGCTAAAACATGCCAAGTTAGCTTAAACTCATTCCAACGGATAGTCCGGAACCAGACTGCTCCCGAAAGAAGACGCTAGAACAAGCTCACCTCTAGTTTTGTGTTGTCTGCCATCATTCTCTGGAAACCAATACCGACACCCTCAATGACAGCCAGGAAAACAGCACACATGATGGCGGAGTTTCTGGCAGCCTTCACACCACCACGGACAGCCAAAGCACCACCAGTGAAGAAACCAGCGATAACTGTAACAAAGAGCATCGATTAGTCAGACGCTCTCCACTAACTGGACACCCCAAATATCCAATAAATCGCGAAATAAGGTACACATACTAGCATTGTAAGGGTCCTCCTTCTTCCGGATTCCCTTGATTGCACAGTCGAATGTCGAGAACATACCACCCCACACACCGAAGTTACCACCGAGGACAGGCGCGCGAGCCTTGATGGCTGTGATTGCTCCTATCCGACGCTCTCCGTAGGGGCTGTTTCTGAAACCCTTGATACCGTGCCATACTGCACCACCAATTGCCTATAGTTTCATCTTATTAGCCCGATAGTCCTGTAAATGAGCGCGATCGGACCTGGATTCGAATACATACACCCATACAGAAAGCACCACCGAAATCACTCAGGGCCACCCAGGGGCAGGGATCTCTGGAGTGATCCATAGCGAATGTGAAAAGAGATAAAGAGACGAGTAGATGATATTAAGCGGGCGGTATATCCGTAAGCACGAGTAGCTACTGTCCTGACAGGCTACACGGTCTGTGAGATGCGATGTGTCAATGGATCGAGCGGTTGCTGATGACCCGGATAGGTTGTGGCTCGTTCGAGGGAAGATGGGATCGAAAGCGTATGTATTGACGATGATGAATTGTCGTCAAGTAACGTCTTCTAATCGTTAAATCGCGGAAGGGGATGTCTTTTGTGGGGACAATGAGGTCGGCGATGGAGCAAGTTGGCGGATCGCAGCAATCTTTTTAGATGGCGTTTTTTCGCCCGGAAAACGTGACTTCGGATGGGGAATGCGGTCACGTGCAGATAACACCCCCGGTTTCCGCTCGTATCAAAACAAACTTTTCTCGCAGTGCATGAAAGAACTACGACTTTTCCCGTAGCCTCGATATTCTGTGGCAAAGCAATGGAAAAAGAAAACCTTGTTGTCCTTGTTTTCTATTGGGCATTATGCTAGAACAGCCCATGGTTCAAAAATTTATCCCAAAACTCAAGGAAGGATGTTCACATCTATGTACATACGTTCCACGTCATGTGGCAAGCGTTATCTTGAGAGAACTCAAGACGGCAAATTCCAAATAAAGTTCAAAGCTCCTCCTTCATATGCAGGGAATTGTCCTGCACTACTGATACCAAACGGTGCCATCGATGGGTCGAATGGTAAAGAAAGCCAATCATCAGCCGCGACATCGTTTAGGGAAGGGATGTACCCCATATCAGACATGTTTTGAGACATCGGAATATCCATCATGGGGGTATTATTACTGTGATCTGTGCTCGATGGGACACCCATGGAAGGTCTTGAGGCTGTTCCCTGGTTACTCTTGACAGTCTTTGATGATGCCAGTAGATTCCGCCGCAAACGTGCGACATGCATGTCTAACAGCGCAGCATAGCGAGTACTCAAATGAATATCATCCAAGGCGTTTGACCTTAGCGCTTGTATACTTCGCTCGAGAACATCCAATGACTCTCGCAGCGTCGATTGGCGTGTTCCCAAACTAAGAGCCTTCATGAGAAAGATGGACGAGCTCGTGATACGGAGGAATATCCGGACGGGGCAGAATCGTAATACCCCATTCTCAGCCAGTTGGATTACCTTTTGTAGTATCTGACAGCATCCATCAATAACTTCCTGAATATATTCGTAGTCAATCGGGTCAATGTTCAGAGCGCGGACCTCTTCCGCGTGAGGATCGCTGTCCGCGAGCACCCGCTCCACCACTGCTTGCATTCCGACGGAATGCGTATAGACTCGGACAAAATGATATTCGATGAAGAGAATATCAAAGTACTGTTTCTTGAGTGCTGTGTGTATTCCGTTAGTTTCATACGAGCAAGAATTATTCCGGTCATGGATTAAATTCTAGGTTTAGCCAGATTCACCTACATCGTACTTGGAGATGTTCTTCCTTCCACTTGTCCAGTATCGGACGAAAATGATCCAGCAATTCAATATACCGTCCACTATGCAATTGCTGCCTGGCAAACGAGACGGTCGGAAAGAACATATCAGTGACCGATTTTGCCAATTTCGTCAGATCCATCCAGGAATCCATAAAAATCAGCCATTCATCACCGGATTGATTTAGCTCTTTTGTCGCCCGCCGCCCTAGGATAGCATGGTTCAGGCTCTGTGGCATAAGCGATACGCAACCTATTCGCCATGCGAGTTGATTGATGTATACATATAACAACCGTTGCACCCGCTGCCTGCGAAGTTTGATCTGCTCCCCAGATATAAATCCCTCGTAACCAGACGCATAACCCAGCTTCTTCTCATCAAGCTCGAAGATACCCAGTTCGTGCGCAAGAGACAAAGCTGAACCCAGTAGCATCCAAGACATCTGGTCTGATCTTCGTGCCGGCTCGATCATATCCTCCAGCCATCGGTTTGTAGAGGACGAATCCTCTAGCTCTTGCGGCTCCGGGGGAACTGACGTGAGGTCGAAGTCCCAGCCATCACTTTCTGGGGGGAAATGGAGTGATCGAGGGTGCCATTCTGACATTAACATGAGAGCCTCGATCGTCCCTATGTTCCGAACTTTAGACTGCGAAGATTTCTCCTGCCCGAACATAAGTCGCATGACCAGTTGCTGACAATGCTGCCAAAGCCGATGGTGAATGAAAAAGTTCCTTGATCCACCACCTGCACCAGGCAACAGGTGATAACGAGAGGATATCATCAAGATAGTACAGCATAAAACTGGATCGTGCGACACAAGCCAGCGATGATTCTTATGGTCTGCATAGAAATCAGTTAATATCGGGGACAGGTCCGACATGTTCTTGAAGAAACTGAACCGTCAGTCAGCTTTGACAACTTAGTAGTACTAGAACAATTGGTTATACGAACAGGTCGATGAACGTGACAGCTTCTCTCGCAGTGAACCATCCCATCCGAACAAAGCGACATGCTCCCCAGACACTAAGGACTTCTTTGGACGCCTGGGAGATTTCTACGGGCTGCGCTGCTTTCGCCAGAACCTCGGGAGGAACAATGGACTGGTTTAATGAGCTGTCATAGTTATTGGAGCGACCAGTAGAGCTTCGCGCATTTCGCGACGGCGTACTCGACTCGCTTAAACCATTACCATGCTCCTTACTATGAGCGGCCGCGGCCTCGAAAAGGATATTGAGAGCATCGTTCCCACTAGACACCACGGTACGCATCATAGAATTAGCCAAGGTAGAGGTGGATTGTCGCCGTCTTTGGCTACCCTCTGCTGGGGACGACTGAAGTGTACTATCACCATTATCCTGGTCATGCTCCGCATAGCTAAGTGGACTCGGACCGTGGCCTAAAACGTGGTGTGACTCCCTACTAATCCCGGGATTGCTAGATAGTCTAGGACGTGTCCTTGCAGACAGCGGTGTATCTTCTTCCGATTGCCCTTATGCGATGTTAGACATGGTCTAACCTGGAGAAGGAGGACGGGTTAATTCACCTCGTTTCTTCTGTCTTTCCCATGCCTTTTTCTCACTGAACACACATTCCCTTTGCTCCCTCCTGCACTTCGCGCACGGCGGCCCTAATGGAAGACCATCCGGCCCCGTCCCTAATTCACATTTCGCCTTTCGCTGCCGGCAGGCAAGACATGCCTTGTAGGTACGCTGGTATGTGGCATGTCCGTTGCGGGACTGTCTCCTGACCTCCATTCTCACAGGGAGCAAATCAACCAATCACATGATAGTTATTGATTATGGCTATGAGGCAACAATGGGCCAGACGCAGGAGCCAAAGGCAAATGGCTAAGTGGCCCGGGTTTTTGGTTTTTCGAGATATTGCGGATGTTGGAATGCGGTTGGCAAAATAGCCGTCAGTTGCCGAGGAAGAAGGTGGAAATACCCGCCCCTACTTTAGCTTCACCTAAACAAGTGGCATCGTTCCCCTTTTAGACCTACAATGTCGCGCAGAGAGCATAAACTTCTGTAGGATTGATGCATCACATGTAATTTATTTGCATTAGGGTCAGGTACTTTCATACCAAGATGTAACTACTAATTAGTCAAACGTAAGTAAAAGATGCGGCTATAGAGCCTTAAGTATATTTTCTTACCACTCCATTCTTTGCTAACTTTGATGTGTCGAACCCTAAAAAACGCACTCTTAGCTAGAAGAACAGTGAAATGTTGAAAGTACGGAAAAAATGGCCTTAAATTTTCACAATATTTTCCCTCAATTATGTGTGCTTAATATTAACCACAACTGTATGTCCGTAGTTAACAGCCCATGATGTCATTGCATACTACGCGCCGCAACCATATCAGAACATATTATACTCAAGGATTCTCCAGATGGCCAGGCACTGCAGTGCCCCACAGCAATGTAGAGATGCCATCTCCCGGAGTTTCTATTTTGTTTTATTTTTTTTTAAAAAAAAAAAAAAAAAAAAAAAAGGGCATGAGAAACTGACCTCGGAAAATAGCGGAAACTCCGGCGCCCAGAATCGGATATCACTTTAGCGGAACGGTTCCGCCTGCTTTAGACAAGACCATCGAGTATAATAAACAACCGTGGTCAAGGATGAGACGCAGTAACGGAAGTCTAAACCCAGTATTAATTTGTTACGTTTATGTATATCCCCCAAAGAGTATTAATTTGCTGTAGCGTAGAAACCCTACTACTTGGGTAGCCCATCTCTCCCACATTGACATAACATACCCCTCTTGAGAAACCACCTATATACAATACCTACAAGTTACAATAGAGCCCTAAACCAAGGATCAACTTAACAGACAAGAACACCCAAAATGACCGACCAAACCCCCAAAATCACCCTATACACATACTTCCGCTCTTCCTCTGCAGCCCGTCTGCGCATCGCTCTCAATCTCAAGTCAATCCCCTACAACTCCATCCCCGTAAACCTCCTGAAAGGCGAGCAGTCATCCCCCACCAACCGCGCCCTCAACCCGTCCGGCACCGTCCCGACCCTCGTAGTCGAGCGCCCAGCATCCCAGGGTGCAACGGTGACCATCACGCAATCTATCGCCGCGCTCGAATACCTGGAAGAAATCACCCCGGCATCATCCCACGCTCTCCTCCCACCGATCTCGGACCCGGAGTCCCGTGCGGTCGTCCGTACCCTTTGTGAGATTATTGGCTGTGATGTACAGCCGGTCACGAACCTGAAGATTCTGAAGCGAGTTGGCCCGCTGGGATTCGATCGGGAGACGTGGTCCAAGGAGCTTATTGAGGATGGGTTCCGTGCTTATGAGACTATTGTGTCGCGGACGGCGGGAGTATTCAGTGTTGGTGATTCTGTCACTATGGCTGATGTGTGTTTGCTTCCTGCTGTGTGGGGAGCGCAGCGCTCTGGTGTGAACTTGGCCGAGTATCCTACTATACAGCGGATTGCGGAACGGTTGGAGATGGAGGATGCGGTGAAGAAGGCGCATTGGAGGACGCAAAGTGATACACCTGAGGAGTTTCGGCTGAAGGAGTCTTCGTAGGTTGTATTATCTTGGTCATGATATTGGGGATTTGAAGGATTTTACGGGGGTATAACGACAGAATGTATAGGGATCTCATATGTTCTTGGATACTTTATTCATAGCTATCTCGTGACAGACAATCTCACTTATTTTGGAACGTTACAAACAGAAAAATAACATAAAGGCTAGGACTTAGTATTCCAGCTTGATGGCGGGAAGAATGGTTCCAGTGCAGTCTCCGAACCCAACATAGTTTCCTTCCGTGCCGGCCTTACCACGCAGGACAATAGTGTCGCCATCTTCCAGGAACAGGCGTTCAGATCCATCAGCCAGCTTAAGAGGGTTCTTTCCATTAGTCTGCTCGAGGAGACTGCCCTGGGTTTTGGGTTCTGTGCCAGAGATCGTTCCACTTCCGAGAAGGTCACCGGGGTTCATGTTGCAGCCTGTGATGGTATGGTGGGCCAACATCTGTGGGAACGAGTACAGAAGGTTCTTTGCGTTTGAGTTGGAGATGAGAGTTGGCTTTCCGCCTGCGTTGGTGATTTCGACTTCGAGGGGGATATCGTAAACGTTGGCTGCGCGCTTCTCACGCAGGTAGGGGAGTAGAGAGTCCCGGTCGCCAGGTTCCAGACCCGTGGCGCGGAAGGGCTCCAATGCGTCCAACAAAACTACCCAAGGGGTGATCGTAGTGGCAAAGTTCTTTGCGTTGAATGGACCCAGAGGGATGTATTCCCAGGCTTGAATGTCACGGGCCGACCAGTCGTTCATGAGCACCAATCCAAAGATATGATCTTCGGCTTCGTTGATGTTAACAGGCTTTCCCAGATCATTGGGCTTGCTGACGAATGCAGCCAGCTCCAGTTCGATATCCAGTCTTTTGCACGGGGAGAAGGTGGGGAGCTTAGGTGTAGCAGCTGGGTTGGCCAGGATTTGGCCGTGGGGACGGTGGATAGGCGTGCCAGAAGGCACGACAGACGATGCACGACTGTGGTATGCGACGGGCAGGTGCTTGTAGTTGGGTTGCAAGGCATTCTCTGGTCCGCGGAACAGTACACCGACATTGTAAGCGTGGTTCAGACCGGCGTAGAAATCAGTGTAGTCGCCGATTTGCATTGGCACATGGTTGGTCACCTCTGACAGCGGTAAGAGGGCCTCCTTCTGTAAGGACGCATTATCCTTGAGAACCTGAGGAAACGGGGTGTCTGCACGGAAGACATCCTGAATATATTCGCGAACTTGGCGGTGCACAGGGCGACCCAGAGCAGCGAATGCGTTCAAGGTGGGCTGGTTAAAAACGCTGAGATGTGGTTGGAAGTCAGGCAGTTGCGCGAAGCCCCCCGATGAGGCAAAAGTGCTCAGGTTCAGCGCATATTCACCGATTGCAATCGCAGCCACGCGAGAGGTACTTTTAGTCGAGGAGATAATTCCAAAAGGAATGTTCGCCAGCGAAAATGGCGAGTTCTTAGGGATCTGGAGCCACGATGCCATTGTTTCTGGTTATATTGGAAGGGATGAGAAACCTCGAATATTTAAAGAAAGCAGTCACGGCGACGTGTTCATGTGAGAAGCTCCAACCGTGAAGAAAGCGACGTTAAAAACAAGTCGCTTTGACTTTTATCTGCCCCTCATCTCTTGATTGCGACAGCTGCGTGTTTTGCATGAGAGGGACGATTTCCGATGGGTGGCCGCGGAACCAAACCGCAATGCCGCTTATCCCCGGCAGTTTCGCACTAGCTCTGCTGCCCTCCAATTCCGCGGTTCCTCCCCGCAATTCATACTTGGCTCTGGACTGTCGGTTACATTGTCAAAGGTTGCGCAATGATTTGAATTCCCGCGATCATGTCCGTGACTAACGGCAAGTCGCGACCGCCAATACTCTCATAAAACGAGGGGCACCGCATCTCTAGGGTTGCGATTTTCTACCAAGTCTAACTCCTGTACTACTCATTGAACGCAAGTAAAAACATACACAATCGATAATAGGCATTGACATCATGCCAGTCACTAAATTCTCACACCCAGACCCTTACTCCTACCAAACCGGATTCGATTCCTATCATGAGTATGTATCTCAGACTGCGGAATTCGCGATGGGCGGAATTAACTGTCTCGCAGATCGGAAGCCATTGAAGGAGCCCTCCCCGTAGGCCAGAACTCTCCCCAGAAGGCTCCGTATGGTCTCTATGCCGAAAAGCTCTCTGGAACAGCTTTCACCGCTCCTCGACATGAGAACAAGCAAACCTGGGTTTACAGGATCATCCCCGCGGCTGCCCATGAGAACTTCAAGGTCGAAGATGGAGATTCCTATCACACTCATATGACCACCGAGACCACTAAGCTTCACCACATTCCCAATCAGCTCCGATGGAACCCGTTCGATCTGGATGAGACTGTGGACTGGGTGCATGGGCTGCATCTCATCGCAGGGTCCGGAGATCCCACCTTGAAACAGGGACTGGGAATTCTGATGTACGCGGCTGGAAAAGACATGGGAAAGGAGGCCTTTTATTCCGCGGATGGTGATTTCCTGATTGTCCCACAGCATGGTGTGCTAGACATTCAGACAGAATTGGGAAGACTTATTGTCCGTCCGAATGAGATTTGTGTCATCCCCCGTGGTGTTCGGTAAGCCCTCCTCCCCCGCTATGGTTCCAGCAGTAACCTGACGGCTACAATTTCAAGATACCGTGTAACTCTGCCAGCTGGCCCGGTAAGAGGGTACATCTGCGAGCTCTACCAAGGTCATTATCAACTCCCAGAGCTTGGTCCCATTGGTTCGAACTGCCTCGCCAATGCGCGTGACTTCCAAGCCCCTGTGGCTTCTTTCGATGATGAGGAGCCATCCGAGTACCGCCTGTACAGCAAATTCAACAACACCCTTTTCTCCGCTCGTCAGGATCACACTCCATTCGATGTTGTCGCCTGGCACGGCAACTACTACCCTTACAAGTATGACCTAGGTCGCTTTAACGTCATCGGCTCTATTTCTTTTGATCACCCCGATCCTTCCATTTTCACTGTCCTCACTGGCCCTTCCGACCATGTCGGAACCGCCATCGCCGACTTCGTCATCTTCCCACCACGTTGGTTGGTGCAAGAGAACACCTTCCGTCCGCCATGGTACCACCGCAACACCATGTCCGAGTTCATGGGCCTGATCTCCGGTAATTATGATGCGAAGACCGGTGGCGGATTCCAGCCAGCCGGAGCTAGTTTGCATAACGTCATGAGCGCGCACGGTCCTGACACTGATGCTTTCGAGGGGGCCAGTAATGCTGAACTGAAGCCGCAGAAGGTCGGCGACGGAAGCATGGCATTCATGTTCGAAAGGTTCGTATTCGCTACGGGATGCTTTTATTGTTCAATCACTAACTTTATTAGTTCTCTTATGGTCGGAGTATCCGAATGGGGTCTCAAGACATGTCAGAAGGTGCAGGAAGAGTACAACGAGCATAGCTGGCGGCCATTGAAGAGACACTTCAAGAACCCTAATAAGGCTTGAAGCTGCATTTGTGATGAGAAAACGATGTACTGCATATTGTGTAAACATTCATTAGCAATTTAGCACTGATACCTGGTCTACAGAAATAAGACATACTTGATTTAATATTTTATTCGCGTATTATGTTCACATTCAACCCGTCATAAGAATCTTGCATCCACAAACCTATAATGGCCATCCCTCGGACTTAGAAAAATCGACTTCCTCGATTTGGCCGACGCCGTAGCTTTGTGGTTGCACCTATGGTGTAGTACTACCGCATTGACAACCTTTGCGCCAGCAATTGGACTAATACATACTCTTGGTAAGCCTTGATCGCTAGAATTCATCTATCCCAGCTGAAGAAAGAATAACTGTATTTCACATTCAATCACACACACAAAAAAAAAAAAAAATTCACATTAAGCATACAACGCTAAAACTACACACATATACACAACAAGAAAAAAAAAATACTATCACCCCTCAACCTCCTTCCTCAATGCTTCCTTAACAATAGCCCCACACATCTTCGCGTAAGGATTCGTCTGCACCGCCAACTGCTGAGCAACTTTATTCCCAAACCTCCCCCCAAAGAAAAAGTCCCGACTCGCCATCTCCTCCAACCGATCCGCATCCAACTGGTTCCATCTCCCCGGTCCCTCAAACGCTTTACCACTCTTCTTCACCTTCGCCAACCTCAGCAACAAATACCCCCGGTGCGTATGCGCATCAGCCAGTAAACGCGCCTGGACCTCTGAAACAGGATCCGCTGGTGACCGCGGCGTGGCAAGACGAATCGCCTCACCCAGATCAGAGAGGAGGGAGGATACGGTCTCTGCGTTTTGTGGGTGGAAGAGATCTGTATCTGTTTTTTCCGCTTGGTCGCCATTGTGGGTGGATATGAGCATGCGGAGAGCTTGGGCTCTGTTCACGTAGGCGGGTGGGTAGGTTGGGTGTTCTGTTATCAGGGTGGAGAGCTGGTCTATGGCGGATTGGATGGTCTCGGGGGTCGGGTTGGGTGATGCTAGGGTGCGGACAATGGTTATTTCGCGGGCTTTGAGGGTTTCGTGGAGCTTGGGGTCGATGTTTAGGTGTGCTGGGAAGGGGGGCAGAGATGGGTTGATTGTGATGCCGTTTGAAGGCGAGGATTCAGCGTCGAAGAGGGCTTGGAGGACGGCTGAGTCGTTGGTTGTTAGGTTTGGTCTTGTGGGGGAGATTGTTGTTGAGGCCATTTTCGTTTCTTTTTACTTTTGTCTTTTTTTTCTTTGGAGTTCTGTTGATTTGGAGGTATTTGGTTTGTGTGAATTTGAAGTATAGATATGGATAAGATAGTTTGGTTTTGGTCGTGAGTGTGATGTAGGAGGAATTGATGTAGAAGATTGTATGTCTCAGATGTTTGTATGACGGATATTGTATATCTATGAAGAATGAAAGCGGTATAGTCCCAACCATTCAAGCGATTGAAGCCGTGGTAAACTTCATCGTCATTGTGGCGGATGTTTTACCCAGGGTCATCTGCACGCCGGCTATTTCGAGATACCCGCGCCCAGCCGGCCCTTTCCATGCAACACCCGTCCACATCCGACGCAAGCCCCAAGTTGCCATCATCTCGCTGACCGAATTGGGTAATGTATCATTGGGAAGAATGCAATCATCATTATCCACAGGCGATATAGATGTTGGTTCGATGCAATGGTGGGCTAGCAAGATACCCGGTGACCAATCCACGGTCTGGGGGTCGAATTGTATTTAAGATGATTATTATTCGACGTGGTTGATATAAAGACAGCACCAACGACTGGCTCAATCTACACTGCTCAACTCAGACTCAATCAGAGAACTTGCATTACTATAGACAGAAGAACCAAAGTCAAACCATAACACGAACAAGAAAACGACAACAGCCATGGCCCCCATCTCCACCAGCCCCCCTCCCACCGACCGAAACTCCCTCGCCAGCTACAGAGGCTACGACCATGTACACTGGTATGTAGGTAACGCCAAACAAGCCGCTACGTACTACATCACACGCATGGGCTTCAAGCGCGTCGCCTACCGTGGCCTTGAAACCGGCAACCGAAACATCTGCTCCCACGTCGTCCGCAACGGAGACATCACCTTCATCCTCACTTCGCCTCTGCGCTCCCTCGACCAGATCGACCGTTTCTCCGCCGAGGAACAGGAGCAGCTGAGAGAAATCCACCACCACTTGGAGCAGCACGGTGACGGTGTTAAGGATGTTGCGTTCGAAGTCGACTCCGTCGATGCCGTCTTCAATGCGGCAGTGAGCAATGGCGCAAAGGCCGTGTCGAACCCACAGACACTGAAGGATGAGAGCGGCGAGGTCAGAGTGGCTACTATCCAGACCTACGGCCAGACCACACATACGCTGCTTGAGAGGAGCAACTACCGCGGTGCTTTCCTCCCAGGCTACCGGCTCGAGACTGCAGAGGATCCCGTCTCTAAATTCTTGCCCGGTGTGCATCTCAACCGCATCGACCACTGTGTCGGAAACCAGGACTGGGATGAGATGGACAAGGTTTGCGAATAGTACGTTGTCCTTTGGTTTTATTCATCTTATGTATTCAAGAGCTAACCAATCGCAGCTACGAGAAGGCCCTCGGATTCCACCGTTTCTGGTCCGTCGACGACAAGCAAATCTGCACGTGAGTCTAGCTTTTCCCATCAGCTCTGTGAGGTGATTTGACTAACAATTGAAAAGTGAATTCTCTGCTCTAAAGAGTATTGTGATGGCCTCGCCAAACGAGATCGTCAAGATGCCCATCAACGAACCAGCCAAGGGCAAGAAACAATCTCAGATCGAAGAATACGTCGACTTCTACAACGGTGCTGGCGTACAACACATTGCTCTCCTGACCGACGACATCATCCGGGACATCACGAACCTTAAGGCTCGCGGTGTGGAATTCATCAAGGTCCCCAGCACTTACTACGACGACGTGAAGATCCGACTGAAGAAGGCCGGCCTGACGCTTCACGAAGACTTCGAGACGATCCAGAAGTTGGATATCCTCATTGACTTTGATGAAAATGGTTATCTCCTGCAGTTGTTCACTAAGGTATGTTGATCAGTTTTGCTGTCTTCTGTAATATGGCTGTATGCTAATGGTTATAGCACTTGATGGATCGCCCGACTGTTTTCATCGAGATTATCCAGAGACACAACTTCGAGGGTTTCGGAGCTGGAAACTTCAAGTCATTGTTCGAGGCGATAGAGCGGGAGCAGGAGCTGCGTGGTAATCTTGTTTAGGGCTTCGGGGATGATGATGCCAATGACTTATGCCTTTTGTATTGTTGCTTCTGCTTGATACCTACCCTACATCTCTACAAGTGTATTTTTGCGAAGTTGCTGCGCATGTTAGATTAGCGTCTCTAATGCTATATCAAAAAATGTTTCTATGAATGTGACAGTCTCGTATGTACACGCTGCCTTTTACTGTTTTTGAAGGCCTGTTTGCCCAAGGTTGTGGTTATTGTAAATTCTAAGCATACGAAGCATCTAATCGTATTTTCATTGTGCGACATTATGTTCGTTTCGTTGTTTCTATGCATACAGGTCACCCAGTGCACCCAGGTATCGGCAGACGAGATATGCCAAAAACTTGGGACACATATGACGATCCACGCCGATGCCCTTATCATTTCTTCTTCGAAGAAGAACCTCCTGGAGTTGAGCCCGGTCGGCGCTTATACTTCCGGGGATCTTTCCGGCTCATCAATACTTTATTTCTCGTCCCTTTTCCACCTTCCCAGAATCCACTTCCTGCTTTTCCTATTAGAACTGCACGGCAGACTCCGCAGTTTTCAGGCCGGTAGATTTGCTCTCTAGAACAGAAGCCACAAATCATACGATTCGCGTGTTCGTTGGGGTGGTCTGTCTCCGCATCGTGACATTTATCGCAAGGATATACCTTGGCGCAGCAGCTAAATCGAAACCAGCGATAGCTCTTGCCATAGTGCGAGCAGCGACCACGGCGGGGGAGTTCTTGACCAGCAACAATGCCGAGAGTTTCCTTTGGCTTCCTTCGTGGCAGTGCTTGGTTACGAGAAGTGAATGCGGCTGATCCTACTCTGAGGAATTTGACTTCAGGAACCTTGAACACCATCTTGCGATGACATTGGCGACATGACGCCGATGCACTCTCACCGCGGACTGCAACAACACCGGGTGCAGGGAAGGAGCTTGAACATTCAGCACATGTTGGAATGAAGCTGCTAGGAAGCAGATCAGCGATGGTACAGCCATCCAAGTCAAGGTAGCCGGCGCGGTTCGCATTAGAATGTATTAACTGTCGACGGAAACCTAGTTGAATGTAATTAGTTGAGTCTTCCATATGTTGTCCTGTTCGAGAAGGCCTTACCAAAACTCATAGTGTTGGCACATTTCTTGCATGACTCAATTTTAGGAGACAATGCATCAGCCTTGTCCTTCACCTGAGGGACGTTCTTTATGTCCATCTGCTCCTTGCATCGATCACATTTGATCGTGATTGAGAGGCCAACAAGCTCTAAAAGTTCAATTCCATATAATTCCAAGAAGGGGAAAGAAAGAGCAACGCCACGTTCAACGGTGGTTTCTGGGAGCGCTGGTACTGGGGCTCCTCCATCTTCTTCATCTTCGCCTGTAAAGTCATCTTCAGACTCGGTCATGTCCGTATCTTCGCTTTCGCTGCTGCGTTCACCCACTGTCCATTCTGGAGGCCGTGGAACGACATGGACGTGAGGCTTGTCTTCTAGTGTCGTGCCCTTTGTCGTTGTCGACATATCTTCAGGGTCTTTAGAATCTGTATACGGTTCAGATGATACATCAAGAGCAGTCTCCTGGAAGGGAGTCTCAAGCGGCATTTTGGCGAAGTTATGCATATTGGCCGTCAGGTAATTGATTTGCGACATCAGGTTCAATTTTGAATTTCCTTCAACCCACTGCGCAAACCCCACTTCAACAGGCCGCGCTTCTGCACGATCAACGCCCTGGAGCTCAACAGAGCTCTGTTCCAGTGGGTACAAAAGCGGCACCAATAGCTTGACTGTTTTCACAGAACGGATCGAAATCGGTAGCCGGTCAGGTTTGGGAGGCTGGATAGGAATGACAAACGAAAGCCCATCTTTAGATTTCTGAAACAAAGGCAGTCTTCCAAGACGAGCTTCAATCTGCTTAGTCTCAACAGATCGCCTCTTCTCAGCCTGCGATTTCTCCTCCGCGGTATATACCCGAGAGGGAGCCTTCGGCACAGACAACGACTTTGGTTTCGAGTCTTGCTGACTGACTGGGGTAGATACGGTCAAGAACTTCACCCCTTCCACAATCGCCTGGCTCTCTGGCTTCTGCTTGCTACCCACATTTGGCACAAACTTCAGCGTGGGGCCTCTTTCCGTAGTCGTGAGTAAACGCTCAAGGTGTCGGTCTAGCGTATTCATCCAAGTTAACAAGGTCGCATGGCCACTACTCCTCAGGGTGCTGTCGACAATGTCGTCGAATCCCCGTGCAACATTATCCTGAAAGGCGCTGCCCATTTCGGAATTGGTCACTTTCAAAGTGGGTCTCTCGCGGTTAGGATATGATAGCGGCACATGCAAAATGCATTGCAGCTTGTCCATTTCGAAGGGAAAGTCCGGATCCGAAGGGGCCATCCCGAAAGTCAGAGTTGTGCCCACATTATCCGTGCTCTCCGTCGGACGAAAACGTCGCCTCAGCTGGTTCATCTGGAATTCGCGGGGATTTGAGCTTTCGGCCTTCGAGATTGGCCTCTGGCCACTGGTTGAACTCGTGTTGGTCATGTTGCTGGCTGCCAGTGAAGGGTCGTTCATTCAAAGTTAATGGCAGCCAGAGTATCACAGAAACAAAGATGGTACGGTACGGTGAGCTGGAACAACTACAGACCCGGACAATAGGTCTGGATAAATAGTGCTAGACTTTGAGTATGAGGACTAGATAGTTTGCGAAAGGAAGCTATATGAGCTTAGTCATCTAACGTTGCCGCTGAAGGTGGGCCTCAGGCGCTAGTCCTAAAATAGGTAAAGCGCCACCATGACTCTTCGTGACTCCCGATGATTCAGTGCAATATGACTCAGGGTCCAACAGTGAGTGCCACATGGGCTGCAGAATACGAACTAGTCCCATGTCAGGAACTCCTGTTCTCAATTAAGTCCCATCAGTTTCCACGGCACTGGTGATGCCATTTTTTGGATGTGGTGCATCTCTTATCCCAAGGAATGATTGACCCCATCAAGTAGTAGTTAGTACTGTAGTAACTCAAGAGTTACTCTATTTTTAGCCAGTCAATACCCGTCAACTGAATTCTCACGGTCTTACCTTGTTTCGCCTCCAGTAAGGATTTCCAAACTCGGGTCCAAATGAGTACTCTAGCCTTCTCACCTTTCGCCCATTGTAGAATCCACTGAACATAGGCGTGCCATGATACCTTATATGACTTCTACTATCATCAACCCACCCACGGGATCACGCCACTTGCAGTCTACATTCTAGATGCCTCCAGCGTATCAAGCCACCAGTATACGAAGAATGATGGTCAGATTACTTACCAATTCTAGAACAGAAGTATATCGTTAGCTTCTAGGTGGAGCTTGCATCCAATACTATAGGGGTTTTCAGCCGATATCCCGCGATGTATCTAACCATCGTTTCTTGTCTAGAAAACTGTCTTCCCTGAGTATAGTAGCTCTTGAAGTAGGAACATGGACTGACAGGAATCGTCCCATGGTGAGTGGAGAGATAAGAATTGTAGAAAACGCATGTACCGTACTGTACCATACCACAAAATCACAAACTCTATACATCATAGAGGTTAGGAATTCTTGACTTGAATACCCAGTGGCTGCAATAGGTTTATGTTCTCGGTCATCATTGAGACAGCCAGCATCACGGAGTGTAAGATCTTCGTGTGAAAGTCCACATGAACGATTATCAAAAGAAGCTCTTTCAACTACTGGCACAAGAAATCATAATCCGTTACTTGACGGGCGATCGGCATTGGATTTAATGCTTCCTTGTGGCTGGATGGCTATCTCTCCAGCCAAGTCAATCTTGCAGTATTCATACACGGAAATAGTATCTTGGACACCCTTCAGAGTATAGTTCTACCAGCCTCTGTGGTTCAAGAACAGTCTGAACAGAAGAAAAACAAGACGCTCAATTCAGCCACTATATCCAACAATAAGCTTCATGAAGCAGCGCGTGTCAGCACTTTATTAACGACACAATATATCTAACACTCCCAGCTTTATAGCTTAATACATGCCAACAGTCGACGCAGTACCTTGCAGACTTCTAGGCTTTGAGATCTGGATATTAGACTAGAACAAAAACAAACTAGTAGAATAGCAACGCCAAAAAAAAAAATAAATAAATAAAATAAATGACACTAGTGTTTCAAATCAACCCATTGCCGTGTACATATTATGTATACAGTCACTGAGGCTGGGTTTCTCCGTCGTTAAAGCTGCAAGGGGTTGCTGATCAATTAGGATACCTGGAGTGGTCCGATTCGGATGCTAACCCACCCGCCGATGCCAAGTACTCCAACATGAGGGCCCACTGCCAGGTACATCGCGTTGTATGTCCGGGTGGTGTCAGCAGAATTGGGGTGGTTCCGATTGCTAGTAAAGGGGCAGTGCTTTTGTTTAGTAATGGTCTGGCTGCCCTTGACTCCTCATGGTTATGGGTTAGGGTTCCATCCAGATTAGGCATACACATTGTGAAGCGTAGATCCAAATGGCCTCTCTAATTTCCTTATTATAGTCAGTAATCTTCTGAATCGTCGCACTCCTATTCCTCTTCTTCCTGGTCTTCGTGATCTTCTCCTCGCAGCATGGCATCCTTCACTCTTGTCAGCGCCTACGCGGCTGCTGGCGTGCTGGCAATCATCGTCTTAAATGTCTTGCGTCAGCTCCTTTTTCGTAACAAGACTGATCCACCCCTTGTTTTCCACTGGATCCCTTTCCTGGGTAGTACCGTTACTTATGGGATGGACCCTTATGCGTTTTTCTTTTCTTGCAGACAAAAGGTTAGTCGGCCGCCGTGGTGTTCATTTCACCATCTTGTACGGAGCCCACTACTAATCCAATTGGCAGTATGGCGACATCTTTACCTTCATATTGCTTGGTCGAAAGATCACAGTATATCTGGGCATTCAAGGCAACGAATTCATTCTCAATGGCAAGCTGAAGGATGTCAATGCCGAGGAGATCTATAGCCCGCTCACTACGCCAGTCTTTGGCTCTGACATTGTGTATGATTGTCCAAACTCAAAGCTTATGGAGCAGAAAAAATTCATCAAATTTGGCCTCACTCAGGCTGCACTGGAGTCGCATGTACCATTGATTGAAAAAGAAGTGCTTGATTACCTCAAGACATCACCCAACTTCAAGGGGACATCTGGCAGGGTGGAAATCACGGGTGCCATGGCTGAAATCACTATCTTCACTGCCGGTCGGGCACTGCAAGGCGAGGAGGTTCGCAAAAAGCTCACTGCGGAGTTCGCAGATTTGTATCATGACCTTGATCGGGGGTTCACTCCAATCAACTTCATGCTTCCGTGGGCACCGCTGCCGCGTAACCGCAAGCGGGATGCAGCCCATGTGCGCATGAGGGAGATCTATATGGACATCATCAACGAGCGCCGCAAGAACCCGGACCGGGAGACGTCGGACATGATCTGGAACCTCATGCATTGTACCTACAAAAATGGACAGCCTGTGCCGGACAAGGAGATCGCCCATATGATGATCACTTTACTAATGGCAGGTCAGCACTCATCGTCATCCATTAGCTCTTGGATCATGCTACGACTAGCCTCTGAGCCCGCAGTCATGGAAGAACTCTATCAGGAACAAATTACAAAGCTCAGCCCGGATGGAAGTACCCTTCCGCCACTGCAGTACCGCGATCTGGACCTTCTGCCCCTTCATCAGAATCTCATCAAGGAAACTCTACGCTTACACCTTTCCATTCACTCTCTCATGCGCAAGGTCAAGAACCCGATGCCAGTTCCTGGCACACCCTACGTCGTCCCCGCAGACCACGTTCTACTAGCATCTCCCGGTGTGACCGCTCTCAGTGATGAATACTTCCCCAACGCATCCCGCTGGGATCCCCATCGCTGGGAGAACCGTGTTGAAAAGGAGGATGAAGGGGACATGGTCGACTACGGTTATGGCACTGTGTCCAAAGGAACATCCAGTCCTTATTTGCCCTTTGGCGCTGGCCGCCATCGCTGCATTGGAGAGAAATTTGCCTACGTTAACCTGGGAGTAATTGTGGCGACCATGGCGCGGCACATGAAGCTATTCAATGTAGACGGCAAGAAAGGGGTACCTGCCACAGACTACTCGTCTATGTTCTCCGGTCCTGCGAAACCAGCGATTATTGGTTGGGAGCGTCGCTTCTCGGAAAAGTCATGAGCCCTAGTTAAAGCCTTCCCTGGGAAGTCGATCTGTTCGATCAAAGCAGTCCCCTATCGTCGGCTTTTTTACCGCCGTGTAACATGGTCATCTTTCTGAAACCTATCTAGAGTCAACCATAGTTGGCGCCGCACCCTGAAAAGGATATGTATAATGTTAGCATTAGAAACTATTATTAATAATGTTATGCCCACAGCATGGTAAGCAAGTGCCCTAGTAGAACTGTCAGCAAGGGCTGACAATGTTGCAGTAATGGGAGATTACGATAAGAAGAAGTCATAATGTCACATGGTTATTTATGAATGCGTGAAAGACAGGAGCCTCCGAATTGGATGGTAGCAAAAATCCCAAGAGAGTAAGTACCTGCGTCAATACCAAGTTCGCGTAACCAGTAAACCGTGTATGTAAGATACCAGAGTTTCAGTCTATCATTGAGGGTAATACAGAGCTCAGCACCTATTTCATGACTAGATTACGTATAACAAGGTCAAATACATACGATTTGGCAATGAGGAAGCGGGATATGCTGTCCCACGGGTCAATGAGCGGTGGCGCAAGCCAACAAGTTGAGGCTGAGGGCTTGCCAGCTCAGCGACGGATATTGATTTATGTCAAAATAAGAATGATGGTGAGCGTGTGATCAAGAAAATTTACGGGCCGTTGGATCAGTTTCAGGGGGAATGGAGGAGAAAAAGCAAAACCTCTGCGCGTGCAAGCATCCGGAATAATCATAGCACACCATCAGCAGTTTTGAGGCGCTGATCGACATGGCCCGGGGTCTAGAATACGGAGCACAGAAAATATACCCCATAAATGAAGTGCCAACCACTATGGGGTGAGGTTCGTGGCACCGTGGTGGACCTGGTGGAGTGATCTGACCTTCGAATACGATTCTAGGGTCGACTGATAACGTCAAACGCCTCGTTCGCCAGGTGGGGCTAAGGCCTATTGAAGCCGTCAGCCATGCCCACTGTAAGGCTTTCCATGTAAGGTCGAAAGCTGGGGATCATGCGAGGGTGGTACACTGCTGGAGTACTTACCTGCCGTCAACTACATCGATCTGCGGTATTTCCGGTAAGCAACAAAGCGAGATTCACCAAGGGACACGGATGACTTGTCAGTAGGTTAACCTGGAGTCTGGGGGCAGGGGAAGAATTCGAAGTGTGATGAAATTGCCAACTCATAGACCTGGTGACCTTGAGATCGACAGTGCTCAGGTCCTGCCCAATGAGATTGAACGACCAACGCAAGCGACAAGGCCTGTTCCCAGACCTGCATCTGCTGAATAGGAAAAGAAAATAGGCGAACCGGTCGGGGCAGAGTTAGCAAGAGACTTGGTTGGAAATGATGATCGCTTCCTGACAACACCGGTACATATCTTTGTTTTGTTCTTGGGTTGAAATGAAGCTATGTGTAGCAGAACGATCACGTCGCTTGTACTGCTGTCTTCTCGCCACGTGATTCATACGGCGCGGTCAATGACGGCATACATCAGTTCTTCTATAATTGGATCATTTAACTGTCAGATGCGATGCAGATTTTTTTTTTTTTTTTTTGTTGTCACTGGCATGGTCTAGATGTCAACCTGAGAGTCGATCGGCGCCTGATGATATCACCGACAGGGCCAAATATCAGGGATGCTTCAGATCTCCAGAAGAACCCTTGGGTTTTTCCAATGCCTGACTCCTGTATGACTACACTACGTTGCCGAGTCGTACAGTACACTCGTCAAGCTTATCTCCCTATGGATAATTTGAACGAATTGCTCAGAGCCTTGAGTTAACTCCATGAGTTTCACGAGATCCAGCAATTGCTCAGGACACCAATAGATACCGAACACAAAACCGGATAATTTTACTTTGACACCGTGGATACTATGCATTGAGACAATAAGTATGACTTGAACAACTGTGGACACCTGGTTGGGAACGTTTCGAGTTGTTCACCCTCCCAAAGCAGGCCGTTCAACCTTATTATTAGAGACGAAAACTATCCTGGATCGGCTTTCAACGTATCCGACGGTTAGACCTCTATATTCCCAGCTACATGCCAGCCACATTGAGTGGGATCAGGATTTTGTGATCGTTTACTGATAGCGGTATGCATCTCACCATGACATGCAGCTGGCTATCGGCAGCTCCGGTCTACACCTGCAGTGGAATTTTGGCTGAATATTTCCCAAATGCGGCCATCACCCTGACCCATGTCGTCTTGGGAGAATTAACCGTATTCATTATATTATGGTACATCGGAGTTACCCTCATTTGTCTCAAAGAACCAAAGGACTCCATCATAAACTAATAGGTTAGTCGAAGTAGAAACAAAGTACTCGCAGGTACCTTCTCGCGTACACCATAAGTACCACCGTATGTAATTCCAAGTTCCGATACGACTCCAAACCGGAACGAAAATACGCATCGAGGATACGCCGATCCAGATCCTTCACGCAAACCACTTTATTATACTTCCCGACAACCCTCCAAAGCTGCTAAAGTTTCCGCCAAAGAAATCGCTATGAAAAGAAAGCTATAAACCTACAATCAAGCCCTTTAGTAAAATAAGAATCACTCAAATGAAACCCTTAACCCTTGAGTGCTCTCAAACCGGGAACGCTCGCGAAAACAAAGGGGAAAGGGGGATGGCGTTTCTCTTTTCCGCCCTCCAACATTTCCCCGCCAGATTTGACCCACCGGCACCGGGTTTCTCCTCCTTCCTCCCCGCAACCCCTCACGAGCTGAACACAGCAAAATCTCCGCCATGAGTCTCAACCTGTTAACTCGGGCCGCTCGCAATCCCAACGCACGAGTCAGAGGCCGAAGAGCCCCGGGATGCAACCTCGATCCACTACACGAAAACTATCAGGAACTGCTCCTCTCGTTCCCGTCCATGGAAGCATTTTAGGTTGTGCACCAACTTTCAAACAAGTCGTCCATTTTTGGCGTCATTGTGAGACTATCGGTTTTGGCTATGCAAACCCTAATGGGTCACCTCCAGCACTCACAGGGATTCACCCCAAAATACCCCTGTTCATGAAAGGCTACAGGCGTTGTAAATAACTTTTGTTGACATCATGAGACCGTAGGTCGATCGAGCGTAGGCTAGAGGCAAAAATGAGCCATATATGCAACATTAAGCGAATAATGATTGGAACCCTCTGTGGCATCTCGCAACCCCCAAGGAACGAAGCTATTGCTCAGATCTGCGTTATCGACGGGGAGTTCAGATCAGGAAACTTCTGGCGTCTGCACTAGAACAGGATACGAGGGCATGGCTGCGTTCCAATTGGAGACTGAGGCAGACCAAAGTTTGAACAATAAGGACTGTTTCGGCTTCGAGTGGTAGATGGGTGATTTATCCGCTATATACCGACTGAAGGCGGGTGTTTTCGAAATCGATATAAGCTTTCCCTTGTTTACCCGTCATTGTCTAGGTCAGTAATGACTTACCTCTTGTATAAGCTTGCTCCGATAGAGCTGGGGTGTCATTCTTGGTATGGTCAAAACAGGTCGAAACTTAGACTATTTGTCCTAGTGGAATAATCCCTCTTCGGGTTGGCATGGAGCCGCTACGTAAGTTACTTCACATCTCCTGGCCACTATATTCAAGTGAGCAGTAATCATCACTTTGCAATGGTTTCACGACAGGGTTTGGTGCATCTTAATATTGGAGTCTTTAGAAAGAGGCCAAAGTTCCAGAAGAACCGGCCCTAATAAGTGCTGTCCCACTAATTCAACATGTTACACAGGTTGCTTCATTGAAACTTAAACCTAGTCGAGTGGACAAAGTTATTGCATTGACTTCGATTTTCCCGTAAATTGCCATCCCTTCTTCGATACTTCTCTGAGTTGCTTCAAGCCGGTCAGACACTACTATACTGCAAGTCCGCATGAAGCACGGGAAAGAAACATTTGGAAATGGCATTTATTGGACAGTTCATTGAACGACTTGAGGAGAGGAGTCGATATACAAACACTAAGAGCAAGGCCCAGAGTTCTAAGATCACCTGCTTTAGAAGCGATAGTTAAATCAAACCATATAATGCCCACACATGTAGCCTAAGAAAAGGATAACACACCGCTTTGAAGCTACCGGATTTACAAGTAGGAAGGAATTGCTGAGCCATTTACCTGATTTGCAAACATCAAGGCAACATCATAAGTTTGACATGAGTGATGCCTGGTACGCCATAATATATCAGATACAAGGTCCCTATGGGCCTATATAACATTTCAGCATCGAAGATAAGCTCTATTGAACATATCTTATCTCATCGTTTAACAAATCATTTAGGGCAGAAAAATATCGTGATAATTAGGGTCATGTGATGCTTATTCAATTTTATGTACTTCCGTAGTCTATCTCCAAAGTTACATGTAACGAAAAGCGACTGTAAAGCAAGGGCGTGTTATTCTATTACAAGAAGCTCACTTTTATTACGCCATACAAGAGCGATTTCGATTCAAATTAGAATAACAACAAGATGTGAAGTACAAAGTACAAGTACACCAAGAACTAGGTATAATAGAATTAAGAGAGGTAATGCCAATAAATCCTGGTATTATACCTACACGAAGCATACGCGTTCTTCCATACAACCCAAAAGCAACAACCAACGCAGTAAGCAAAAAGAATAAAAATGTAAGAATTAAAAAAAAATAAAATAAAATAAAAATAAAGAACAAGTTTCTCCGTGATTACTCCGTTCCCAAAGCCGAAAGGATCTCAGATCCCAGAAACAGGAAGCCTAGCCCGCCAATAAGCGTCCCGCCCAACCAAAGAAACAATAAACCTCTCCTCCGAATAATATCCCCGAATACCCCAAAAAAAAATAAGGAACAACTCAGCAAGCAATTGAATTTCTGTCTTTCAAGGTTTATGCGTTTTCCATCGAAAGTCTAGCAGCGTTCTATACATACGCACACAGATTAGTACGGAGTCAATTCGGCCCGTGTCTGACGGAGCAAAGTCCTCCGAGTGATCTATGTAACTAGTAAATTAGTTCGAGTCTACTGTAAGCGACAGCCACCGTTGATTGACGAGCGCCACCTTGCGATATACTCCGCTTCTGCGGAGTAGCCGAGTAACTAATAAATAATAAATAGTAAACAAGTGTCAGCCGTTTGGCAGTCGGGATGTGGCCATCAGAAAATGAACAATCACCCGTTGTTGCTCTTGTTGCAGTTATACAATTACATCTTTGTTATCTGGTTTTGTTTTTTGTCGGGGTAATATCGGTAATACATTTGAACTGTGGTTCGTGTTCTCATACATACCAATCTATCAATATGACAATTAAGTGACGCAGAAGAAAGAACAACCACGGAAAAAGAGCAATTAATAAGGCACAAAACAATCTGCACCTATATGCATGCCCTAAGGTACCTTACCATACAGAGCCATGATCACGAGCCGCTTCAAAGCCAATAGCACTGTTCATCACCTCACTAGCGCCAATTCACGACACAGGGATACCACTTGGTAAAGTATCCCCCACGAGAACAACGAAGCCGAAGACAAAATAAAAACACAGAAAAATAGAAATAAAAACAAGTACACTGATAATAATAGACTCAATGAAATGCAATTGGGCATCGACAAGACCAAGTCTCGGGCACCATTGGTTATTCTTCACGCTACAATCATAAGCTACCCTTCAAATACCTATAGAGTGGATATTATTACCAAATACACGGGTACACCCAGAGCCCGCGGGAACCGCCATCCAATGTATGAGTGTATATAATCAAGTGAGAAGAAATTTTTTTTCTCCGGTAATGGATAAAATACTACACTAAGCCTGTATAGTACTAGCACACTATTGCTGCCATCCCACGCCCATGCAGTTCTCCCTTCTAGAACACTTCTCGAAGCCACGTCCTGAAAACCTTGTTTTTCGCCGTAAAAGACCACGGGTGTGGCATGTGACCAAACCAAGGGTGGACTTGTACGCCGCTGTCGCAAGCTCTTACTTCATATTGGCATTGCCCCTGTTCGAAATCCTGGTCGCATCGGGTGTATAGCCTTATATAGGAAGTGAAGGGCGCACTTACTGGAGGTTATATTTAAGTGTGTTATGGCACCAATTAGAACAGCGGCATTAGATATGGCTAAGTGGGTTTTGATGTATTGCGCGGGTTAGCTGTAGCACGGAGGACCGTGTATAGTTTAGTTCGGTAGATTTAATATCTGCAATGGGGTATCTGTCTTGGTTTTTCACAGTGGTGTATCTCCACATTGATAACCAAGTCAGCAATGCTGCATTGCTGCTATCAAGTCCGTTACGATGGGTTATGAGTCTCAAAATGCTTTACCGCTCCACACATTCGGCCGTTGATATTTCTCAACGTCTGCCCATCATATGAGTATCCATAATAACTAGCACTAAAGGTTTTTTTGAAGTATCGTGTCTAGACCCGACCGTTGTCCGGCGGTGCCCAAGCTCGGCTTCATCCCGAATTGTCGGAATGGTCTAAGATAGTGTGAAACACGGACCGAGAGGCAACAAAGGCTGAACTTCCGCCTTCAAGAAAGAGCTAGTAAGCATACAGATAAAGAAATGTATTATTAGGCCCAGGTACTAACCTTGACTTGCGCTGTGGCTCTAGATACCAGCTAGACTCTGTCCAATAGAGAGACATACTGTTGTTGTTGGATAGATGTTCTAGATCTCAACAGACCAGAGTCATGAGACTCTATTCGGTATGGCCACTGCTTTATTGTATTAAATTCTATGTGGCACACATAGTGTAAGACATCTCACGAGATGTCAGAGTCATGGTAGGTGGTTAGCTGATGCAAAAGCATAATCGGGAACCGGACGACAGTCTTCCACCATATCCCGAGATCATCGGCATGCCGAGCTGAAGATATGGTATCGACCGGGCCACCTTAGCATTTCCATGTGCAGAGCCACAGGGTAAAACTTGGTAGCTTGCAGGCATAGACGCGACAACAGGTTCAGAACGATCCCAAAACCGCATCCGGCGGATAATATCTATATCGTCATAATTGTTTACCAATTTCAACCCCTTCTCCACACATCAACTCTATTTGATCCATCAAAAACAAGGCACAGAACAGGACCATAATTATTAAAATTGAGTTGAGTTGAGGTGAAACTACCATCTCCAGCTATTCACCAAAAACAGATCGGAGTACCAGATACTTGTCATCCCCATACACGGTCACAGTATAACAGCAGTACCGGTGAACTTTCAAAGAGCAACACTCCACCCAACGAATCAGTCATCTGCCCGACCTTTCAATCGACCCACACGCGACCCGCAACCGCGCATCTCTCCAAGCTGAAGATGACTCAGGCAGAAATGAGAACCGCAAAGTCTGTAAGGTCAGTCCAGTCCACCTGATCACGCGGTAGACTCTTCTAGGCAAAGACTCCCCCAATCCAACCCCCAATCGACTCCACCGTCCAGGCCTGGTTGATGCGTACCAGGCTACCAGTCACAGCTGGCATGTCTTGCTCCACGTTTTCTCGGGCACGACCGGATGTCAAATTTTCCCCTGCTTGGCCTGTTTGGGAAAAAATCGGGAAATTCAGGAATGCGCGTGTTTCGCCTGTGGGGAGGCTCTGCAGTAGGGTGATGGGTCCAAGGTCTGGATTTTGCACCTAAGTGGGATGTATAATCATGTATTATCGGTTTCTTGCACATTACTAGTTTAGTATTGCGGATTCCTGTGTTAGAGACTGCATTGCAAGTGGGTTGGTTCATTATTGAGCCCCATTGTAGTATTGCAGTTGATCTTGTTCAATCCAAATGCAACATATCGGTTACATCATACCGCTGGAGGCTTACGGAGCACTGCGCACCGGATACAAAAATTAATCAAACAATTCGATTGATATCATGACGGCTATGTAGTTTAATTCTAATTTCCTCTATTCCATAACGGCACCCATTGAATAAAAAATTCAGACCATCACTTGAAGAAAATATAAAAGATAACTGAAAAGAAAACAATATTTCAGCCTGCGGAGAATTATGCTTCCAATCGCAGGCATTTTCCCTGTAGATCAGCCGCCAAGAGATGGTTATACTCTCCGTTGAAGAATCCTGCACATGTACCGGGCAGCATATGATCTGCAGCATTCGCCATGATAAGAGGATGATCTATCCTGAATCATTCTATATGTGGCACACGCCTCATTCTAGTCTCAAGTGTAAACAGGGAAATTGCGGGGACTGTAGTGCTTTACCCCGTATGCTGGAGAGATTTCATCCTAGCCCTAGTGACCAAGACATCATAGACCATTAAGTTCCAGATTAGCGAAGATATTCAGATTGTTTCTGCCACTTACCTCTGGACCTAAATCGAGGGAAGAAGACGAAAAATCAAAGCATGATTTAGGTCAAGGTTACAGTTCACCATGGAAATCGAACCCAAATGACAAATCATGCCAGATCCGAACTCATGGATGCAAAAGGCTTCCACCCAGTCTCTCATCAAAAATATCATAATGTGGTCACCCGGAAACTCAAGGCGACGCGAATCACAATTGCAATACGGACTAGAACCCAACATTTGACCCTCCTTCAACCCTCTTCCAAGGAGGAGGGGTGTCAAGCATCACCAGTAGATCATAACTCCAATGATCTTGTTCTTCCTTTCCCAGGAGAGGAAGAATACCTCAACTTGATGTGGCAGATGATACAGTTTTTTCTCAGGTTACCTCATTCAACCGAAAGGTTCCGCCGCCTCGTTCCCGTCATACCTCAAGGCGATGACAATTCATCCCACTTTGTATGACAGGTGAGACAAATTTAGAAAATTAAAAGTTCATGTAGGAGTCTGGGAAACAAACAGGAAAAAGTTAATCAATAAAGAAAACGAGATGAGATGGTGTAGGGGACCCTCCGATCAGGCATCCCCGTCCATCATAGGGGAGAATCGATGAGATAATTGATAATCGCCATATGGAGAGAGGCATGGCCCAGTGCATGTGAAGGGATCAGTGCGATGATTCTAGATCTCAAGAGGTACGAATTCTGAAGATATCGCCGGTGCCGCGGATGGTTTTCCAACCACTCAGAAAGCCAGCCCTAGGTGGTCAGTTCGATCCCTGCTCATAATATTGGTGGCTGACGCTTAATTAATACATGGCTTGTGCGCATACGTGTCAGTGCACCTCATCCTGGGCCGGCCAGAAGGTTCGAAGTCTCTATTCTAGTATATAAGTTTGACTACTATGCAATCCAGAATGTATATTTTCAGATAAGTTTTGGTCATTGGATTCTATTGGAGTAATCTTCAACTTTTTTTCGTAAATCACAATTTAGCGTACATGGCATGTGCAGACTGGGCCAACCCCCTCCATAGGACCCAGTAGAAAGGCGCGGAGCAAAATCAAAAACATATGTATGGTATCTGGTATCAGAGCAAAAAAAAAAAAAAAAAAAAAATAGAGAAAGACAAGGGCTTCAAATGCATCGAATGATACCAATGACGTTTTCTGCTAAGATGCAGTCACGAGACGCAGCAATGACATCCATAAAAGGCCTCTTTTAGAATTCCGCCCAACCCGTACTGGAAAGAGAAACACATAAGAACCCATGCCAAATTCGAATCGCAACAGTTCCGCCCGCCATGGAAGGTAAAAGAAGATCATCTGTACATGATTAATCGCGCTTGAGGTTTTGTCCTCAATATGGCTTGTATAATATCAACATAACGGATAGCCACACATTGCCATGAGAAGAAATGGTATGGAAAAGGAGCTGAGAAAAAAAAAAATCAAAGACCCGAAAGAAAGAATTAGGTCGAAATAACAACCATATGATCCATAGTTGCGCCAAAATGCAATGCAGAGTCGTGATCGTACGTGTCACAAGGATATTCAATCGGCGGCTTTACATAGACGTTAAAGAAACGCGTTGAAAGTTCGGTTATCATAGTGTCAGTAAACATTACCCATCCTAGGAAGGATATGTCATGACAGATAAAAGGTGAGGAGTAGAAAGATAAAGAAAACAGGTTGTTTTCGGTGTTATCGAGGACAAATGGTCGTGTCGCTCCGAAATCGGTTACCAACCCTTGGCATGGTACTCCCATGGACCAAAGTCAGTATATTGATTAAAAGAAGCTGTCTTCGCCATATCCTTATCCTTGTTCTGATTGGCTGCGCCAGGGTTGGACACTCCAACACCCTGTCCCTTTTGTGCGCCCTTAGGATTAGGATATTCCTGCAAGTTCGCCATGTCATGTGCAGTGTGTCGTCGCTTGAGGAAGGCATTGGCAGTCGCACTCTTCTGCTGCCGTTCCCAAAGTAAATGACGTCGAAGTGACTCTGTGAGTTCAGTAGCAAGCATGTTCCGTCGCGTGGTCCTCGGCGAGTGAGCGACAGACTGCGGAGTAGGTTTCATGACTATCGGTTTCGATCGAGGGACACCAGGGCCACGCATCGTCAAGTTATCCTCATCGTCTTCGGGCGGCGAGGCGGGGATGGATGGACCGTTTGGTGATGTCAAACGCGACCGTTGCAAGGCTGGACTGGAGCGGGTAGGGGCTCCCATTTTAGTCGGTTGATGCATCATCATTGTCAACAGGGAGCGTCGCGAGACAAGGTTGGGCCTTGAATCGACCCGCTGAAACATGTCTCTCTCGTCGAGACTCGAGCGTCCGCTCTCGGTAATCGAATCCTCCCAGTCAGAATCTTCATCTTCAATAGCACTCTCATCGACCTCGTCCTCGCTCTCGACAGCATCTTCATCATTGCCTCCAGAGGGCTCCTTAACAGGCTTTATCGTGCCATCTTGTTCCCTGAACGAAGTGACCTTCTTCTTAGGACTGGGTTGCATAGTCCCCGACTTGGACAATTCGTCGGAGAGGGAACTGCGATGGGGACCACGCAAAGCCATGCGGTCCTCAAAGGAGCTCTCGTCGTCATCACCTGAAGAACCACCCAATGTAAACATTCCACCTTTCTTCTTGAACGGTGTCGGCTTTAGCTGGGCGGAAGCCTTTGCGGGACTGGGTTCAGCCGCCATTCTAGGCTGCGACCGATAAGACGACGAGATCAGGGAAGGAGAAAATCCACGGATGATGCTGGGAGATTTGATCAACTCGCATCGAGATGGAAGGATTCCTGAGGAAGACACGCTAGTATCGGAGGCATTAGCATTAGCAGCATCACTGTCGTTGCAATCCGGTGCAGTAGTCGAACAGGACTCAGTAGAATGATTCGGCTGTTGAATGACAGGAAACGACGGAGACGGCGAGGGCGTTCGCCTCGCAGTTGATTCAGAGGGAGGGGTAGGAGTTGGAGTAGAAGGCCGAGGCGTAATATCAACGACAGGGGGCGAGACTGTAGCCATTACGGAAGGGATAGGTTCGAGGTTCTTCTTCTCTTTGATGTTCAGTACCATGCGTTCCAGACCCATTGATGTAATGTGCTTTTCTTTTCCACGGCCGAGACTTGCCAAAGAATCGTCACGGACAACGGCAGGCTTGATATCACACTTAGGGCGCTTGATATGGTGCTCAATTCTCTCCGCTTGCTCAGACGCAGCAGATTCAACACTGGCAGAAAGTTCTGGCATGTCTGCCGACTCCTGACGAAGGAGTGGCAAAACCGAGGCATCGCTCGATGTCGCCGGCTCCACACAGAAAGTCTCACGTGTCCATAGTCTCCAACTTAGGTTTTCAAGACGACGGCCCTCTTCCATGTAATCTGCACATTTCGAGAAGACTGAAAGACACGGTCAATTTGAATTCCCAATCACAACAAACCTGCAAAAAGATATTACTCACCCATCCACATCCCATGAAGGCTTTGCGCATTTGCCGTATCCACCTTGTGAATCTTCGCTGTGTCCACCGTGACGACAGGAGTAGTTAAACGTGAAGGCATTTCGTATATAAATTCAACGCGAGCTTTACAATGATGTTCCTAGCAACTCTCTCCTCGCGGAAATTCAGTTCGGGGTCGCCGTCTCCCCCGATCGTGGTCGTACGGCGCGAAAGTGATGATGCGGGAAATCTCTCTAGTCCTTCAGGATCCACCCAGAAGACACACACTGGTGTTGTTGGTTTTGCAGCGTCTTGCAATTGTCCGAGTGAAAATGGCGCCCTAGCTATCGGATGCAACGAGTTGAACTTGGGCCTCCGGTACAGTGTGTCCTGAGGTTTAACTAGCAATGACAGTGATGTCGAAGGGTTGAACAGGGCGTAACGGTATTCAATCCTCTAGACCCGCACTAAACAAATTACGGTGCGGAGGAAGAGATCGGCCAACAGCGAACGACGGTCGGAAGCAAAAGTCGAAGTTTGATGAGTTAGTAGTCGAGGGATGTATATGTGCCGGAACCGAGGAAGTATAGAAGGTCCGTGATGACTGTCGTTTCTGGCCGGGAGAATTGGGGTGAGGAGGAGAAAAAGAGGAAAATTCAGAAGTGAAAAATTGAAAAGAGGAATATGGGGGAGGAGAGACTTAGTAGGTGGAGCGAACTAAGAAGGGAGGAAAAGAGAGAATAGCATAGATCGTAGTGAATGACGGGTCGGTGGAGATGGTGGGAAGGGAAGGCGTATGAGAGTGGTAACGGTACCAGGGGAGGAGCGCAAAAGAAAAAGGATATCGAGGGTGGCCACCCACAGTAAAAGCCCAACGAGGGTACCGAGGGACAGGTTCTAAGGTATGGGGATGGGATGGCGGTAAGTAAAAGGATGGATCCTAGTCGCGCCTTCGTCTTCTCCATGGTCCGGACCTGGATTTTCAGAAAATAGAAAAAAAAAAAATAAAAAAAAAAAAAAAATTTAGTTTTTATTTAATAATATTCAATTTTATTTTTTCTCTAGTGTGTTACTTCCGGAGTACCCCCGTGGGTCGGTTGGTATTTCATACAATGTCATAACGCTCCGTAAGATTACCGGCCTGTTTCCGGAGTTCCACCCAAGAAAAAAGTACGGAACTTGGGGGTAATCATCACACATTGGTGGTTGTACTATTACCCCAAAAGAAGCCGACAGACTTTCTTTCCTGTACGAATTGATCCACTTTACCGCAACCATCTTGCGGGTTTTACATGGCAGTATAACTTCAGTATAAAATAGATGTACTGTACATCAACAGTGCACAAAGCTGTTTGCTGACCATTCCATCAATATAGAAATTGAATGAACATTGATACTGAATGGCAGTGAATGGGCATCAGGACCTAAAAATATCCAGATCCATAACAAACAGACCGAGAGCTGCAAAGAGGAAAAAGGAAGCAATTGGTTCTAGACAAACATTCAGACAAAGATCGACTGTCCTGTGACCTCTGCCGCTGCTGACTAAGAGGGCGATGGAATCCCTTTGCAGTTCACTTCATCGGTCACGGGGTCACTTGACTCCTCAAAAACGGGGCCGTAATGATTGGCGCAGACTGGTTGCTGTTGATATCACTCCACTTATGTCTGGAGGAATTCTATGATGATTGAACGCAGACCCCTCTGACTGCTACTGCCATTATCCATGTTAATTTTCGGTATACTGACATCCAGGTCTAGTCCATACCTTAGGTACCTTCATACAGTACTTCTGCAAGCTTCCAAACCGGCTTGTTTGGTCTCAGTCCATTTTCCCCAAGTGCCACCCTATTAAATTGTCCTGCATTACTTCAAGAGTCCTGCTGACTTTTTGCTGGAGCCGTCTTGATGCAATTATGTTCGCCACGGGCATGTTTTCGGCCACATTCGATACATTAATTGCCCCGGGTCCATGTTCTGGGTTACTCCCCAAGCCACATTTTTTTGCTTTCTTTTTTGCTTGCCAGATGATTTCATTAGCGTAAGGCCATTTTCCCCGGCCGTTGAATTTAATTTGAAGTTTATCCGTCGTCATCACCCTACCCTTGCGAATTCTCGCTGTACTTCCATCCTTCTGACACGTCGGCATTTTTGGTTGACACATCCCGGCTGAAAATGGTCCAAACAATGCCTGCCTGTATGGCTTTTAACCGGTGGTATGTACCATCAACTTTCCCCCCAGATCGAGTCGCATACCGGGGAACCGCTACTCAGTTTCCGATCTTGCTGATCATCTCAATTATGGATGTTCAATTATGCATGGGTCTTATCGGTGCCTTGATTGATCTCTGTTGCTATGTAGCTATCCTAGCGAGCACAATCCAGTGTTCAATCTCCCGGTTCACCTTCACCTATCATGCGGGCCCTTTCCACCTAGAGTATGAAGCATTTCTTAGTGCTACAAAGCATCACTTCCGCCTAGATCCCTAGCGGGATGCTGTATTGGCCCCCAGTAGTGAATAGCAACACGAAGGGGCTGTCAAAGGGCAGTGTCACAACTGCTCCTTCATATCCTAACAATAGTCACAAGGTGTGAGGGCTGCCAGCTGTCACCAGTAAAGCATAGTCAAATGAGATCAACATAACCCAAGGATTCGGGACAACTCTGGAATTTTGATCATAGAGTACGTACATACATACAACATACATATTGAAGGCTTATCCATAACGATAACCGCTGGACATGAATGACCCATACCCCATGTTCTCTTTTTTGCTGGTACTTTAGCTTTTAGCCGCGCTTTTACCTTTAGCTTTCTTTTTTAAATTAATAATAATATTATTATTATTTTACTTCTGAGTGTCACGGGGCTCTAAAAACTTTTTCCTTTCCCTTGTTCTTTCCCTAATCCCCTGTTGCACAATACTGGAACGGAAACGCCACAGTTTGATCTATAACCCCAGTTCCCCAGATAAGTGGTTCGGGGCGCTGGGTTGAAGGAGATCTCCCCGATCCACTCGTCACCTATCACTCAAAACCTATTCGTACTGTCACCTTCAAGTCTCCTCTCTTTCTTCCCTTTTTTATTTTTAATTTTTTGCCCTTTCCCTTCTTTCAACTTCCCGTCAGCCCCAGAGTAACACATTTCGCACGTTTTATCAATCATGTGATGATCCACGTCAAGGGCACCAGCTCCAAGGAACACCTGATTGATGAGTTGTAAGATTCAGTTTCATCTCAGCAAAGTCCTCCACATGATTCCTGCCTGTCGGATTGTATTGGCGATGCGATGCTGTCTCGGTTCAGCTTCACCATAAGAAATGCACCGGATCCGTATGTGTAATTTCCGCGTAGAAAGAAACAGTGACAAGAGTCACAAAACAGAAATGGGAATGGAAGAGATAATTGACGGGGAAGGAGGGCCGGTGGCTCGGCTTATTGTCACGTTTAAGAAGCCCTGTAACCCTCTCACCCAGCGCCCTCTTTTTTTTTTTTTTTTTTTTTCCCTCCATTCATCCCAGTTGCCGGGAATTTCGCTAGATGGGCCCCAAAGGGCATTATACGATGCTAATGGGCTCATATTAATGCCGCTTTTCGTATAGCACATCCTGTCCCTTCGAAATTACCGGAAATGGAAACCAATAGTCGCGTTCGTCAATTATTATAGGTAGTAAGTACAGCAGTTACGGGCGTACATACGCATTGTCATGTTTCGAAGCTTGATAGTTGGCTTCATCCCAAGTATTACTATCAACGTAGTAGTCGGTAGTACCTACCATCAACTACTAGTGCTAACTCCTGAATCCACAATTAAAATCTCCACGTCTGTCATGCATATCCCATGCACACCATTCTTGCCAAAGTAGCGTCGACATCACTAGACTTCAAACCTTGCAGTTAGCAAATCCAAAGAGAATAGACCTCCGAAAGCAAAAATTTAAATCAAATAAAATAAATTAGAATTTACCTCACTGCCATTTTCAACCAAGGACAGGATCTTAAACTTCCCGTTTTGTGGACATTCGCCTCTTCCAACTGTTTACATACATGCAACCAGACTCGTGGGACGGTCGACAGAAGAATGGGTGATGAAGATGATGTCGGGAAAAGCTGTTCAGCTGCCCATCATCCATGCACGTAATCGTTCCACGGTGACGAGAGAGAGCGAGCCACGTAGCTGCGCCTTAATCCGCTGAGCAGGTTCAAAGGGTATCAGGTGTAGTGTATGCTGCAGGGTCTACCGGGAAGTGTAGAATCAAGCAAGATTTTTTTTTTTCCCTCTCTTCCAGAAGAATTAGTAGTATACGTATGATGGTTACATTTGACATTCTTGGTGCGTTTCCAGGTACTTCGGTTGAGCACTTTGTCTTTTACCTCTTCGTCAATCTAGCTTTTTGTTTTAATTTTATTTGTTTCGCCCTTTTGGGGGGATATGATTTATTACGTTGGACTATTGGGTTAATGGACTAATGGTCCGGATAGCAGTAGTCATGATGAGTACTATAGAACCTAGTTAAGCTTAGATGGAGAAAGTATGGGGATGTTCGGCGACCCCGTATTTCTTAAATCCGTACTTTATTTTACTTTATGTCTCAATCCCTCGAAAATATAGATATACTCTTCCTCGACTCCGTACCACGAAATGGAGAGAGGGAAGGTAAAAGCAAAGTTCACACAGTTTAACTTCTATCATAACCTAAACAAGTCGAAACCCCCGACCGGACAAGTCCCCATAACCCCAAGGGTCTGGACAAAGGGGAAAAGGCAACCTTCGAGAATACAATTGGAACTCGGTGACCAAAGCAGAGTCGGGCTTCCTCAACCAACCACTCTTCGGGCTTCAGGTGACCCTTCCATGACATGGTTTTTTTTTTTTCCATGTGTCCGGTGTAGAGTCTATGTAGAAGGTTGTTTCGTCCTGAGGGAATAAGTTCTACCCATTGACTGCCCTAGTTGCGCCCGATGGGGTGGGTTTTCATGGTACAACTGAATGTTTATGATTTGTTTTAGATCCGAGGTAAAAATAATTAAATCGAGTAATCGCTTGCATGGGTTCTACTGAATATTTCATCTCCCATTGATCCGAGGAAAGTTGCCGAAAACTCAACGGTTAGAGGTATTTTCTCTTGATTTGATAATAAAAATTGGAACCCTCTTCAATTCGCTCTGTATGAGAGAAACGGTCTCAAAACTTAGCTATCCCTAAGTTAACCCTCAACCAAATCCAGCCTCACTAAGAGATATAGAGTGTAATTCTGGTCCGAATGGAGACGACTATCGATGTGGCGAAGGGGCGGAGTCAATATTGGGGGGGAAGTAACCTGGCAATTAACAACGGGTCATGTAGGCCCAGGTATACATACATGGATTACCTCTTCACCAGACGGTAACTACTCGGTACAGGTACATTAGTACCGCGTAACCCGTACGACTTTTTGTGTCCATGATCCTACTTCTTCGTCTCTATTGCCTGCCCCTTTAACGTGGGGGCAAAGGTCGAAGGATTGAAGAGGCTTAGTGGCAAAAAATTTAAGAAAGTCACAAGAACAGGTCCCTGTCACATGATGTGGGGTCGGTCCGCGGCATTACGAGAGAGAAGGAGGCAAAAGCGCCTGTCACCGGGACGGTAGATGATCAATTAGACTTATGGCGACGGGAGAGAGTTGATGACGTTTGCTTTTGAAGACAGGTGCATTATCCCTGTTGACAAGACGTCAATATTTTTTCACCCCCCTTTCATCATAGCCGCGGCGCGGTTGAGGGAACGGAGTATCTTCTCTCTGTCTCACTCGCTCGCTCGCTCAAGAGTCAGGTGTTCCAGGATATCTTGAACGATGGTGTTGTACGGAAGAGTAAGGAGACCGATGTAGGCTATCGTTCAAACAGGTGATAGTCCCGATATGTTCACCGGTATTCTCAATAGCCATCCTCAATGACATCCCAATTGCAGCAGAGGGATGGACAATAGTACCTGTATAGATAACGGAGGACTTCAGTCCGACCTTCTTACGAACTCGTGTGCACACTTGCATACTTGCATACATAGTGCACCTCTAGAACGCAGTATACTAAACAAGGTATTCCGTGCAGAGTACCCATATACAGCTGCAGCATCAGGTGCTCTCGACAGGTCGGTCAGAGAATTTGTCTGGACCGCGCCGGCCAATTTGGTATTGTTGTGGCTGGGCAGGATTCGGGACTTGAACAAAGGAGCTTGATAGCCACCATTACTCTAGTTGAATAGAACATAAACCAACTGGTGTATCTTTGATCGACGAGGTAGCATCGAGGGAACCGGAATCAGAAGAAGGCATGAATGCGCGTACGTACATCCATTCTCATGTTGATCCCGGCTAGTCTAGCCCTACATATATATAAAAGAGGTTTCAGATGCCCCTTCTCTTCGCATTCCTGATATGCATAGCTTAAAGCTTGAATTGGCGCACAGGTAGCAGTGTCATTAGCTCTAAGGGGTCTAACCGTCTTCAGCACCGAAGGGATACAAGCGTGACAAGGAGAAGGATACTTGTGTCAGGTACCCCAATTCTCAGATATTCAACAACAACAATAAAGGGCTACGTACGTAGATCTTCATTATCCAAAACGCTAGATGTGTTTCGCCTTATTCACAAATGGTCTGGATCCCTTCAGAAACACCCAAGCGTAACGTCCAAAGTCAAAATAGGACCGAACAAAAACAACAAAAGCAGCTGTGTACCTTCGAGCAGTCACATTCCACATATTTGCCCTCGGGCCCGCATCCCCGGCCAACTTTTTTTTGCGATGATCAACATCAACTATGTAGCTCACTCCCACACCCCAAAAGGTCTTAGCACATAGCAAATAGACCGATTGGCAACCTGTCCTTTGTTCGAGAAAATGGACTAGTGGTCAACTATGCGATCTTGCAGGTTCGCTCTAACCCTCGTCTCCTCCCTTAAGGCGGATGTAAGGGTTACGCGGATCGCGGGCTAAACCCCGAACGAAGGTCCGATCTTAGTCAGGGGAGCCGTTGGTCTGTAACTTCCATGATCCTTGAAACAGGGATAGGGTTGTAGAAATGGGGAAGAAATTTTCGGGACGACTGTTTGATATTCCGCAATAGTAAGGTTAGGTACTACGTAGTATTGTGTCGTGCTCTGCTCCTTGCACACTATCGAGGGCCGTGTCCTCGTTTTGCCATGCCGCGTTCGTCGTAACTAACGTATCTCATTCACTCCTTGATGAATGGCACGGACATCGATGACCGCAAGGATTGTTTATTTTTATTTTTTTTTTCCCAATTGCCGGTCTCTCAGCTAATAATGCATAGGCTGGTAAATTAGGTAAGAGCTGTTGGTCGGTGTAATTATATGTGCTGCACGTTAACGGACAATTTAAAATAATTACCCCAGGTTTCTTTTTTCGATGAAGCTAAATGGATCCCACGATAGTCTCACACCGCTTACAACCTACAGAGTCTGGAGAAAGCGGACGTAAAATGCACGAGCATGCATCCCATAAATGGCGCATGTAGGACAAGTCCTCGTCCTGGTTCATGGGAAATTTAGCTGGCTGGTCGGCGAGTAAATCAAATATCGGCGTAGGTATGGTGGGATGGGAAAAAAATCCCTTGATTCATTCGATCTTTCTGCGGGATCAGGAACGACCACCAAAGCAGAGCAGAAAATGACGGTTGTGTATCCATACATGATACGTACAACCATACATACATACATGCCACATATCTAATTCTAGGCGCCTCATTGGGAGGCTCATTTGTCCGAAAGACGAACTTAACTTCGTTGCATTGAACTGTGTCCTGGTCTTTGGGAACACAGGAATGCTCTGTTACCTCCCGAGTACCTACCGATTTGTCGGTCGATTTGATAGACCCGCCGTGTCGATCATATGTACGTTTACGGAATTGAATAGTAAGGGGTTTCCTATGCATTTTATTCAATATATTATATGCAGGTTCAAGAGTCATTTCCGGGTTTATAGTTATACTACAGTGTTGCCGGGTGAGTCTATGAGGTCAGTGGGTAATGATCTGTTGGAGGTTCGTATGTTTATGCAGGGAGGATTGTCGATTATTGGACTAAACATATATTGGAGGTTGTACGAATGACTCAGTAGTATACCACGTATTCCAACCTTAGAGATACCTTGTCCCTGTCCGTAGAGCTTATGCTTGGGTAGCGTCGTCTTTCATGGTCAGAGTCGTAGATTTACCTGCCATCTAATAGGCCTGGAATATTCGATAACCAGGGTCTATGAGTTCTTTGGGTCGTACGAATGGTACTGCCGATGAGTCAGGTCCTTGTTCGTTGAAATCATGTGGAGATGACTCGGCATTTAGTTTTATAAGCACTGGGCTGAGCGAAGTTCGATAAGCATTAGATCGAGTGGATACTGTGGCCGAAACTTTTTTTTTTTTTTTCTTGTTAGATGACGAAGTCTTGGACTCACTAATGCACTAATGACGATATGAGACTTTTCCCAGAAGTGTATATCTACCTATGTATCTGTTTACTGACGGACGTCATCCATCATCGAATGGCGCAAATGCTAGTATCTAGTATCTATGTACCAATGACTATAGCAGCATCTCAGGTCAAAAGCTAGGAGGTTGCTGTGATTGGATCTGATACCATTGCCTGTTTCGGCATTTCAGTTCTTCATTGGATATGTAGATATAATCGAGGGAAATAAAGGGCAAATAGCAATGACCAACTTTGATTCCCAGTTCACTCGATAAGCGCTTGTCCACTAGTATGGGGGCTAGATTCGCCAATCATAGAAGTAGAATACCCCCGTAGAGCTTGGTTTATTTTTTTTGATGCTACAAATTGGTCTTGTCATTAGAGATCAATGAATATATCGTACCGATAAACATAGAAAGGGTGTTGGTTAGCTACGACTTAGAACTCCTTTTATTTAGCCAATATATGCTGATATTGATCCATTATATTTAACGTCCAGGTCTATATCTGGAAATGCATGGATAAGCTCATGCGTTTCCATCGAGATACTAAACGTTGATCATGAGAACTAGAACAACCCAATCTTACCACGTACTTTTGGCCAGTAACAAAACATACAAGACACAAGAAACTAGAAAAGCTGTATTCTATGTACCAAACATTTCATACCGAGTAAACTACGATAGCAGACTTTCAAAGGGGCGGACACCATTAGAAAAAAAGTAAATCAGAATGCTGACGAGATGCATCCGATAGAATAACTCACCGCAGTCGTGTGATAACAGCGATCAACCAACATAAGAAGTAGCGGTATAGAATGGCACCAGCATTGCTGATAATATGCCCGACTGTTTCGCCTGTCGATTGCCCTGCGCACAGCGTCGTTTGACGCCTTTGTCTTCTTGCTGTCACGAGAAAGCGCAAAGGACTCTTTATTGTGCCGCGGGACGGGATCAGGTCTTAAGCACCGCGAACAGATTCCGGCCACGTCAATGCTCCTCCCCAATCCATGTGATATGGGGGAAGCAAAAATAAATCACGGAGGGCTATTTTCAAGGGGGGCTAAAGGCGGTGCTAGCAGCGCCAGATAGGCAGCTATGGAGCGAGGCTTACCAGCAGGCAGGCGCAGGATATCTGGGGGAGAAAGGAACTGCGCTGATCGGGTGGAGATTTCGGTACTGTGTTGGGGGAAGGACATGAATCAGCTGCGTTTATTATGGATCGGCTGGGTCTAGAATGAAAATTGGCGTCTAAGTATCATGCAAGTCCAGTCAGGCGGTGGGGATGGGGAGGGGGCAAGTCGTAGAATGAGTTGAGAGGTGTCAAATTGTTGTTCTTACCACATGGTAAGCCGCCGCATCAGCCAACGTCGGGTCATCTGAATCTTTGACTTTGTCCCCAGGGGTCGTTCTCACTCGCTGTTTCATAGATGATGATCATGATTAGTACCGCTTTTCCTCTCAAATCTTCCCGGGCTAGACTAATAATAGGCTTATCTTAGGCTCAGGATTCGGACCAGGAAATGAAATCCGTCCGTCCTGATTGACCATGTGGGTTTGATTGGGTGGTGTGTAGATTACAGCTAAATATATTGATGTCTGTGTTATTTAGTACCGTCCTTTTTATCCGTCCAGTGAATATTCGTAGTAGAAAAAGAAGATTAGAATAGCACAACTCGTATATACAGTCATCAGTTCTGTTACACAACTCTCTCCTGCATAATCATTCATTATCCACTACTATTCTGAGAACGAATACTTCGGACAACAAAGTCCTCAAATGACTTACCGGGATTCTGAGCTGTCAATTCGTTTCTCACAAAGACGAATCGACTGACAATCTACCCGAGGATATGGTACAGCGGATCTGTCCATCGTGACAAGTGATCCCACTAACATGTCCGTCTATCTGTACAGTAGTACTCCGTATGCAACATCGTATTGCCTTCCCCCCCCCCCCCCCCCCCCCCCCTTTCCCCTCTTTCCCAAAATATGAACCTTTTCTTTTACCTCCACATATTGTGATACCCCTTCACATGTCCCTAGTGGATCAAGACCACGAGTCCGCGGGACAGGGTGTACAATTCCACGCGACGCAAAACCTCGATGGCGGGACAAGCTAAACAATAGATACCAACCTGAATACAAAAGGCAAAAAAAAGAAAAGAAAAGAAAAGAAAAAAAAAAAAGAGAAAAGGTACTTTTTTTCTCCCCTCACACCGGAAAAGCCGAGACAAGCGGAATGAAAGGAAGCAGCACTCCATGTGACCTGACTGCCCCTGAATCACGTTACCCCATGATTATGTTTTCTAAACAGTCATCGCCATCGCCAAATAGCTAGTGCTTGGAGCCATGAGTTATGCTATCATATACACAGTATCGTGATAAAGAAGAGACTTCCATCCCGGCCCGCCCCGTCCTTCCCCATTCAGAAGTAAATTTAGCGCCCTCATCCTTACTAAGTGGTAGGGTATCCAAAGTTCAGGGGCCCGACCCGGAATCTACCGCATCGGAGTATGACGTCGCATACAATAAAGGTAGATGTACGTACCCTGCACCTAGAAACTACGTGAAATGTAAGCATCGGAGATCCCCGGTCGACAATGAACATGAGCTATTACCTCAGCTCATAGACCTGGTCCCCCTGCGTCGGCGCGTTGTACTACACGGTACCGACTACAGCGAAAACTACTACCGAACCATCATCTGACTCCTGGATTGCCAAAAAAAGAAATAGAGCGAAAAGAAAAAGGGACAGCAGTCCTAGTTAATTCTCCGAGGTGACGGTACCCGAGATGCTGGGACGCGAGTGAAGTACTGTAGTGTGGGGCGTAGGGGAGTCGGATGACTCTGCTGGGGCCAAGAATGCCTCTATCTATCTTACTTTATTGCATGTCGCTGAGATTCATGGGCGGTGGTAAGCACTCTCGGTCGATCGTCAGTGAGTTGGGGGGATGGTGTGGGGGTGTCTAGGAGGTTTAGGAGGTTTTGGTGTTAGCCGATGGTTTTGATAAGGGTAGTTAGTAATGATGGTTATTGGTGATGCTGTGGAGGCTGCTGGATCCTTGTTAGGCATCTAGAAAGGTTCAGGTGATGGACATTGGAACTTTATGAGGATCATTGACTTGGATTGGCTATGACTCGCGGTGGCTGTGGCATCTGAATTGGGACAGGTGGTTTCGAATGCTTCACTCCTAGAATAGTGCAGTGAGTAGGATACGATTAGATGGGTGCCTTCTTTCTCGGGGCAAGTGAAGGGCGCTGGCTGGTAAGTGCATATTGCGAAGTCGGTAGGATCTGATGGACCCAGGGTATATAGCACAAGCGAGGAGCATCATTTAAGTTCATTTCTTTCATTCGTTGCAACGGACCCTCTATGTATTTGCCATGTTTTACATAGACACCAACCAACTAATTACCCATGGCATGAATTGTGTGATATCAACAACCACAACTGAAAGTCTCACTTTTGGCCATCAAAATCGAATTGTATACAAGAAATCTAGAACTCCTGCTCGTCATCACCGGAAATGATGACGTTGTTAATCTGCTTTTCGTTAGTTCTTGAGCTGTTGTGCATGCTGTAGAGACACAGAACTCACCTTAAGGACCATACGGCAGAGCTGAGTTGCGAGCAAAAGCTGTTGCCTCTTTCCAATCAGGGGATCAATAGCAAAATGTTCCCGCATATCTAAGACCAGGGCATTAGTATCATTCCTACTTCCAAACGATCGGGAAGCGTACCGTTGTTGCCGGTCATCATGCAGTCAACTCCCAACCTCGAGTTGTTCTCCTTAACCTGGCGAGATTTGATCGAGGCAAGCGTCTCAATCGGGCTCAGACCGGAGTTCTCGGCCAGTGCCAATGGCACGGCATCCAGGGCATCAGCAAAAGCGCGCATGGCATACTGCTCGATTCCAGGGCTCTGTAGAATTTATTAGTCTAGACGTAACCCAAGTCGATGTGTGAGTGACATACCTTGACGGCGGCATCTTCCACGGCAATAGAGCAGGCAATTTCAGCAGCACCACCACCATATACAACGCGGTTGTCTCGCACCAGGTTACGCACAACGCAGAGGGCATCGTGTAGTGATCGCTTAGCTTCATCAATGATCTGAGAGAACGTTAGTATATATGAAGTGTAGGTAATAGTACAGTGAACTGACCATCTTGTTGCTACCACGCACAAAGACGGTGACAGCACGGCTGTTGGCGCAATCTTCAATGACAAGCATCTTCTCGCGGGTGGTACCGAATGTCATCTCCCGGACACTACCTGCTGTTCCCAGCTTCTCTGCATTCAAGTCCTCAAATCGAGGAACGATACGACCGTTCGTGGCAATAGCAATGAGCTCAATTTCAGGACCACCAACCCAGCGGACGGCTGGAAGATTGTTCTGGAGAAGGAGATGGTTTGCTTCATCATCGAAACCCCATTGACAGATGACCAAGTTGGCTCCCGAGTCTTTCAGGTGTTGGATCATCTCTGTGAACTTCTCTCTTTCGTAATCTTGCAGCTTCTTGAACTCCTCGACCGATGTAATGTCAAGCTTATGCTTCGTCTTCGGCTTGGGGGGCTCGAACGGGCAGGTCAAGATTGCCAATTTGGCATCCTTGACTTCATCAGGCATCTGAGGGTGAGAGAAGTCCTTATCGACAATGACACCCTTGACGAGCAGAGAATCTTCGAGAGCTCCGCCCACTTTTCCGTCGACCTTGATCAACTCGAAATCGACATCTCTACGTTCGAGATCTGCAACGGAGAGGACGGCATCGATAGCGATCTTGGCGAACTGATCGTGAGACTTGGAGACACTGATGACCATTAGTACCGGAGATAGGCAGTATAACAAAGCTGGAATCACCGTCGTACATTTTGCTACCCAGACTAGTCTTAGCAACCTTCAGTAGGTTGGAAGTGTCTTCCTTGCTGAAAGTGATCTCGTCACTAATCTTATCGAGCTGTGCAACAGCAATCTCACACGCTTGATCATAGCCATCTGCGATTCGAATTGGGTGAATGCCCTTATCGATCAGATCAGACGCCTGCTCCAACATGGCTGCCGCTAGGACAACAACACCCGTTGTTCCATCACCAATTTCTTCATCTTGAGACTTCGAAAGTTCCACTAGCAGCTTAGCAACATTGTTTGTGATTTCCATCTTCAAAAACTCCAAGTTAGCCATGTTCCAGTGGACGGCGGCGGCATTGCGGACGAACCTGGGACAGAATGGTTGCGCCGTCGTTGGTCACGGTGATATCACCATCTGGGGAGATGAGGATCTTGTCGAGACCACGAGGACCCTAGAATCGTTCTTAGATGCTGTCAAAAGGCAAGACCACGTCCAAATCATACCAGAGAAGTCTTGACAATGTTTGCAACAGTTTTGGCCGCAACAATATGTGATTTCACAGCATCGGTGCCATGTTGTCTCTTCTTCTTTCCCTGGCTATCAAGATCCATCATATCAGCTATTTGCCCTGAGAGGATCGTAACCCCCCGCATAATAAATGTCTTGATCCGCAACGTACTCTCGAACGACAATGAACGGCCTGCCCTGTTCATCTTTCATCACAGAAGCTATCGGACTGTCAGCGGAGGCTCCGAAGGCTTACAATTATGGATATCACGGCAAGATCCTACCTTGAGACAAATCAAGCTCTATATAGAAGAGATTGAAAATGTTAGTACATCGACTTCCAATGAGGGGCACGGAAGACATACGCATCGCCATTTTGTCGGTCTGCCACACGGCAGGAGTCCAAATTCAAAAATTTGGAAAATGCAAGGAACACAACGGTAATATAAAAAGGGATCCCCAAAGCACGTTATCAAAGCGACGTGGGGAGTTCAGGGGCCTGGACACTCTTTCACACTGAACGGGGTCTTTTTTAGAAATTCTGGAGATGTTCTGATGTCCCAGTCGGGCTAGTGAGCTGCTTTCCATATCGGGTATAGCGCCAATTCACATTCACGCGACTGCGCGACTCGCCCGTTCTAAGTAGCACTGAAAGCAATAATTATCACCAATTACTCTTGAGCGCCAGTTTCCGTAAGGTTGGGATAGCAATCTACTCTAGCACACTGTGAATCAAATTTGCCAAGCTGTTTTCTCGAATTCTCGCACTCACATCTTCGTTTCGCCAGACAATGCCGCGTAAGTGATAGGTTGGTTTAGTCGCACTTGAGATACCCCGTGGAGTTGACAGTCGCATAGCACCCGTGGAGAACCTTTCCGACGACGAGTCGACCGGAGAATCTATTCCTTATAACGACGCGAAAGAAGACCATAACTCAGGCCCCGAAAACCAGGAAGACAATGATGATGAGGAGGAGGAGGATGAAGAGGAGGGTGTGTGAGTTACTATGCGCAGCGACCACTGACGATCAGCGCTGACAGGAGCAGCTATGTCGTTGAAAAGATCCTCGGTCATGACTTCGCGAAGAATGTGCGCACAATCATACCTTCTCATATCGCATTGTCCCAAATGGAGTTGCCATGGCTAATGCTGAGATAGGGAACTCTCCTCCTGCAAGTGAAATGGAAAGGATACGATGACCCTGCAGATGAGACCATGGAACCGGAGGAGAACCTGCTGTATGTTTCTACGTGATTCCTGAAGTTCGGCTTATATACCAATTGATCCCTACTAGGGAGGGCGCAAAAGATCTGGTAGAAGAATACTACCGTGTCCAAGGTGGTCGGCCTGAGAAACCTCAACGGGGGAAGCGCAAGTCCATGACTGGGCCAAAGCAGACACCAGAGAGAAGTGAACCTAAAAGGCGAAGAAAGTCCCGAGCGGAAGCTGCCACCGAAACTCCAGATGACGATGATGGAGATTTGCCTGATTGGGTTCCCCGGTCCAAGAACTGGGAGAACGAGGTGCAAACTGTTGACACAATCTTGCGTGATGCGGAAACTTCGAGTTTAATCGCATATCTCCACTGGAAGAACGGAAAGAAGTCCAAGGTCTCCCTTGAGACCTGTTATGAGAAATGCCCCAGAAAGGTAAAGTTTACTGGTCTTATATATACTTTGAAATACTAATGTTTTTAAAGATGCTTAAATTTTACGAAGAGCATTTGTAAGTTGTCTAATCCAGGTTATGAGAAAATCCGCCTAATTCTAACCGTTATTAGGGTTTTTAAGGAAGGTTGATTTTGTACTAACATTCTTCGCCAACTTTTTTTTTTTCGTGCTTTCTAGCCTCGGTGTAATTGGTTTAATTTAAGATCCCTGTCTAATATCGTCCGGTGGTGAGAGACAGTATCTTTTCTAGATAGTACTGTTTGATCACAGTGCATAAATGGGTGTTCCGTTGGTGTTTTCAATTTATCTATGAAGTCTGTTGGAAATTGGTATCTCTGGGAAACGGAAAATAACATGAAGGGAAAAGAGAGGGGAAAAGAAAGCAAAAAAAGTCATCATAACACTTCAGGGTTCCCCCCAATATCTTCACATCACTCCGAACTAGCAACGCTTTATTCCACCGTCGACGATTATTGTACTTTTTAAGCCTGCTCGATGTATGTATGCTGTCAGAATTTAGCTGTCTGTCTCATCGAGGCCAGCAGCTCTTGCCATTCCAAAATATTCCCACCGACTGTTAAAGGCATCCGAGCCATGCTTCTTCAAGACTTGTTCGATGGTTCGTGTCTCTTTCGCCTCAAAACACCTGTCGTCTTCGGCCGTCCACACTCCAGGCATATTGTTGGGAATGCCTTTTCCTGCAGTCAGATAGTCTAGGACCTTATCGGCAAGATACGGGTCCATGCTAGTGCAGCGTAAAGCTTCGATTATTTGCTCCTCGTTTTCTGCTCTTCCTGTTTGGAGACGATGATCAATCCAAGTGTCGATGTCTTGCTCTGGCGGCTCTTCGGGTTCGGGGTCGGGGCTTGAAGGTAGGAAAGGCAGTTCTAGAAACAAAGGATCAATGGCGGTTTCTGGATCGTGATCTGGCGACTCTGTTTCTTGAGGTTGTGCAGGTTCTGATATGTTCGTGGCAGGGCTGTGAGTGATATGTGCCTCATTATCAACTGAAGTTGCGGGTGTTGGAGTCCTTTCAATATGTGGAGATTTATTTTGATGTGCATGTATCATAGGAATTAAATCTTTGGGTGTCTTGTCAATCGCTCTCCTCTTTTGACTCGCAAGGTGCGCTCCGTTCAACTCGAGATCAGAGTTGTGTTCCGGTGGGCGTTTTCGTTTCTTATCGCCTAGCTCATGGATGACTAGATTATCGTCCTGGGATTGCTCTCTCTGTGTGACTTTCTGATGGTCGTCCTTCTCAGTGGACGTGGGAGGATTTGGTTTCGGCATACCCCCCGGACGGGGGCGCCCACGAAGCCTTCTTAGATATCGGTCACGATATGACTGATAGGTGTGGCGGGGGTTCTGTACAGGATGAAATGTAAGACTGCAAAGATGGGATTCACATGGGTATGGTATCAAGGGTAAATTACCTGTGTAGCTAGTTCCTGATATATTTTATTGCCTCCTACGAAGGCCTTGGGGTCTTTCTCATACGGTGCCATCTGATCCCATAGCCACTGGTCATCTTCCAGAGTGTATGGGGTCGGACAGCTTCTAGTCGGAATATTTGTGGCCCCAACAGGGCGAGCTGCGGATGGTCCAGCTCTATGATCCTCAAGTTCCTCCAGCTTTCCATTACGAACGGACCATTCAACGTACCGATACGAATACCTGGCAGATGGTCAGCATAAGTAGGGAACTTCAAAGAGAAAAAAGGTTAGGATAGGAAAAGCTCAAGAAATATACTGTCAACTTACGTGCCCGGTGGAAGATTCTTTCTGGCATGGTCAACCAACTTGATATCCGCATCCTTCTCATGGAGCCTCACAACACCACCATATTGCTATATGTATCCATCAGATGAGAAACGCCCTATAATTGCAACTGAAGGTAATTACCTGAATGAGGTCTTTGAATCTACTTCGTTGGGGAATGTTGTGTGATAACCAGAATTGTTTCCCCTGGAAAAGTAGTACAGGATGATCCATAGAGCTTTTCCTGCCCATGTCACTGCTCCCTGACTTTTGTCCCAGGAGAGCTATATCCTGCCTGATACAGGAATCCAATCGTCGCCTTCGCCTTATTGAAAGTACGGGCTCGCAACCGCGTTTGTGGTACGCGTGATCACGTGCAGATATGCTATAGAAGTTTTCTATACGAGGCAAAGGGACTGTATGTGGGAGATGTTACTTCGTTCGTTTCAAGGGGCGCTTGCCTGTAGCGTAGGTGTTCCAAAACCTAACACTAGGCGACTTGAAAGCCAGGGATGTGGCTGTCTTAGTATAGAAAGAACCATGGTCGTGGAGAAGAAAGTGATATGTGTACAGCTCAGACTTATATATCTATAGAAAGCCAATATTGCCACAGTCCTGGGGCGGTAGCTCAGTGGATAGAGTGGAAGATTGCAATATATGACTTATCATTGGTCGCTTAACATTGCAAACTATCTTTAGGTCGCCGGTTCGATCCCGGCCCGTCCCTCATTACTTTTTTGCTTTATGAATTTTTCTCTTAGGATAGATAGATAGATACCCTTGCTCCTTCTATTAGATAGAGTTCAAAATATATTCTAGGTTCAGAAATATATATGTATCCTGTTCTAATATATTGAATTGAAACCGATTTGAAATGACCGGAAAGTTTGTCACGTGTAGATAGTAGATAACTCCTGTATACAACCCATTCTGGACTTGGCTTTCTTGACTACTCCGTAGATATTGCCGTTAAATGATTTCTGACTATCATGTCTACCCCGTAGTGCCGAGGCTTAGACTCATCCCCTCTGCGCAGGCCAACGGCCATATTGAGTCCAACATACGACTAGCGTACCGCAGAAGCAACAATGGGGCTCCTGAGAACCATCGCTTTGGTTATTCTAGGCATTTCTGGCTTCACGTTTGTCGCACTTTTTGGGAGGTTGCCTGCATTCCGGTAAGGTGAGAAGGCCTGTTCTGAGTGCAATGACTGATGAACATTTTACACAGCAAAACTCCTATTGGCTTACTACATAGGGTTGTTTGTATATACATTCCGAGTGCAATATCTTCCCTTGATTCTCGCCTGTTAGACGGCCGACTTGTGTACTATTGGAATACATCTGGTAGTTATATATTCCATGAGAATCATCCACTTGTGCTTGTAAATTTCTTGGCCAATGGATCACCTCCCACGCTTTGCTAATATCCCCAACAGATATTCTTTGCGTCGCTCCTCATAACAGGGCAATGCATGTTCATTCCAAGTGCATGGCCCAGGGTCTCTACGGCCCATAGGCTCTGCATGCCCATTGCTGCCACGTTACCATATTTCTTTCTCTATAAGAGCATTGTCACGAAATCGTTCATCACCCCCAAAAACCACGCGCAAGAAATGGAACGCTATCCTTATGATAAAGTCATCTTTCACCCAGGTCGCTACTGCAGCACATGTGAGTTTAGCAAGCCGGCACGGAGTAAGCATTGCAGTTTCTGCAGGGCATGCGTTTCTCGACACGACCATCATTGTGTATGGCTGATGAATTGCGTCGGGCTGAATAACTATCGTCATTTTCTGGCCCTGATTTTGTCACTCTCTATGATGTTGATCTACGGTTCATGCATTGGCTTCTCCCTTCTGTCTCAGTCATGGGAGGAGTTGATCCCGCTAGACTCACCGTTGCGGACAACAAGACAGAGCTGGACAATGTTTTTCAACGTGTGGACTGTTGTGATTTCGACAGATCTCCGTATTGGAGGCGTTACATCATTGATGTTCATGACAGCACCGTTGGCGATGGCTTTTCTCGTTTACCACACCTACCTTATCTGGGCTGGCATGACGACAAATGAGAGCGCGAAGTGGTCTGATTGGAAAGAGGATGTCGCTGATGGTATGGTATTTAAATCTACCAAGGCAGAAGCCTATGGAAACTCGCCTTTGCTACGCGGATATCAGAACCCGCATACATACTGGCCGGCGAATAGTGACCAGGTGCTTGTTCTTACGGAAGGTGAGCCACCGAGAGTGGGCTTCATGTTCTCACCCGATTCCAATGAGATCAGGCAGCCCAATGATGGGGAGGCACCTATTGATCATAAATGGACACCAGTGCGCAGTATGAGGGAGATTGACAATATCTATGATCTTGGATTTTGGGATAATCTACGCCACGCCTTTGGATTACCTGCTCGGCGGAAGATGTCATAAAATTCTACATGGATAATACACTCGATTAAATGGATACCTTTAGTTACTTAGTAGCTTGACTAAATCCTTTGAGCATTACTAGCACTGCTATTTAAGTACATCTGTTTTTGACACCAGAGGCAGTTAGCCAATCATATTGTGCGGCATACATGTGGGAGTCGGCGGGACCGGAGCCGGAAAAATTCACTTTTCAATGCGGCGTTTCTGTCTTCCCCGCCCAATTTGTTATCTATCTCCAAAGTCAACAACTTTTGTCGCATAGTGTTTGTGAGCATCCGCTCAGGTCCTGTCAAGATGGCTGATCGGACTGCTGCGGACATGAAGCCAAAATGTACCCCAGCAGAGCTCATGCTGAAGGTTATACTGACGGGAACCTTAAGTCACTATGAGACTCGTGGGATGATTGACGATAAACGCCTCGAGCATATGTTATCTGCCGGGAAACAGATCTTGTACAAGACACACCAGGAGAGCGATGTCAGGTAGTGTTCCTTTCAATTTCTGGTCATTTTGATTGCTTCATCATTTATATATTGACTTTGTTCTCATGGCAGACATAATCTTGGCCTGTCACCGGATATTTGGCAGGGCTTTACAGATGTTTTGACAAAAGCAATACCCGTCCTAGAATCACAGTCATTTGCGTGGAAATGCCCACCGACTGCGAATTACGACCATTCCTCCTCGAACTTGATAGCCTACAATTACTTTTCACTTGTCAAGGATATTGAACGTCTAAATGATCTGTGTACGATCGCCCGCAATCTCCTCGCGACAACAAAGAAAGCACAGAATATAGCGGCGGAAAAAGGTTTTGATCAAAGGATTCTAGCATTGGTAGACACGTGTGTGAGAGTAACTGCCCGCGGGTTTGATGGTGAAACGAATGCAAGGAATGAAGAGCGCTGGCAGAAAGTGGTCAACCTCTACAAGCGCTTGTTGATCACATGTCTTCAGTTCCTGCACAACTTTATCATGCACAACGAACAACGGAAAATGGTACTCTGGTTGGACCTTTTCGGATACCACTCCACTGGCGATTCGAATATCATTCAACCTAGAGAGCCGCTAGACCCGGCCAGTGGTCAGCCTGAGGGAGCGGCGCCAATTGTCAAGACTGGTGAGAGAATAGTGAATCCCCCTATCAGGGCTCTTTACGACCAGACGGCAGAAGACTTGCTCCTGGAGACGATCTCTAACTTCCCGAGAGAGCCAGCGACGATCAAAGAAGAAGCAGCAATGTTACTTCTCGCAAATATTAAAGACCACATGGAGAAGCTTCTTGGGCGCGACCTGACAGCAATTCAAGAAATGGGCAAGGATCCAGAGCAAGTCAAAGAGATCCGTGCTGCTCTTACAGCGATACTAGGTGCAAAGGTTGACGGATTCTCGGACCTTCAAGACAGAGCTAAAGATCTGCCACCCGCCCTTCCCGAAGACGAGCCGCCGCGCAAGAAGGCTATACTTACAATAGATCGAAGCACGACGGCCGGATTCCCGCGTATCTGCTGGGCTGACCTACCCGACCTCAACGCCTATGGCGCCCTTGCTGCAGGGGATGCGACTATCATGGAGGAGGATACAAGCATGCCGCGGTCAGCTCAATCTGCTGCGGAAACGCTCCAGGAAGCGAAGGATGAGCTGATGGCACGACTTCAAGAGTCATCTCAAATTGGGGGCGACGGCGATCAGGACTATGACACCGGCGATGCAGGAACAGTTGGTGACGATGATTCACGTAGCCTTGAGGCCGTGGCAGACGGAAGCATGGAAGAAGAAGAGGAGGAGGATGATGAGGATGACGACGATTATCGAGGTCGCCCCGGCGATCAACAACGTGGTCTATTGACGGACATCCCTCTAGTCCTGGGCCCCGCGGAAATAGAGGCGCTTCCGATGATCATTCAGGCTGGTATCGTCGATAGCTTCGGACTGAAGGGAGGAGAGAGGACTGGCTCAAGGAATATGCAAGCCCTTAGATGCCATATCCTGCTCACTCAGGAGACAGGACGCAATCTACTTCGGGAACTCTTGATCTTCATCGCCGCATGGGATTTACCCGACGATGAACTCTATTTCAAGATGATGGTGCAGATTATGGACGCAGTTTTAAGGAACGGCCTCATGTCTCATGCCTACTCTGATTTCGGCCAACCAAAGGACATCATCTCTCCAGCTCAGGCGGTCGTCGTCAAGATTCTCACACATATATTTAGGGCTAAATACTCTCCCGCTTCTGTCACAGGATCTACGCAAGCCAACACAACGAAAAACCCAGCACCGCTCTCTAGGGTCGATATTCTCACAGTCCGCTACATATTCACCATCTTCCGCGGCAACATCATCCCAGAAACCTGCGCCTTGATCTATCTTCAAGGCCAGATCCGTGCTGGACGGGCGCTCCCCGAAGACTTCCCGCTAAACCTGTGGGATATGGAACGGGTCTACGAAGGTGTCTACCAGTTCCTGGAATTTTTCGCTGTCCTTACCGAAAACAACGACTGGAAGAACCTTCTAGTCAAGTGGGAGATCGTCTACGATTTAGTTACCTTGATCAAAGAACTTGAAGCAAGCATTCCTAAGGGGCAATTGAGCCAATTGTCACTTGGGCCCCGTAGCCCTTCAAAGGAGTCTCAACCGAGCACAATTCCTGGGCCAGTTGCGGTTGAACGACCATATGACCCCAGTGATCCGGACCCAGTTGATGGCGGTGCTCCTTCTAGAGCTGAGTCGCCCCCGATAACCGAAGACCCATCCGAATTCGAATGGAGGAACCTTAAGAAGCTTGTCGTGCTCGTGCTCTCATCCCTGGTGTGGAAGTGCCCGGAGGTCCAAGACCAAATACGTCGACATGGCGGCGTCGAGACCATCCTGTCTTGCACCAACTTTGACGCGCACAACCCCTACATCAAAGAGCATGCGGTGATGTGCCTGAAGTTCTTGTTGGAGGGTAACCGCGAGAACCAAAAGCTCGTAGAAGAGCTAGAGGCACGTGAAGTAGTAAAAGACGAGAACGGACTGCTTGAGAGGAGCGGGTTCGAAGCTGTGATCGACAAGACTGGCAAACTGGCAATCCGGCCCAAGGATGGGACCGGAGAAAACAGATAATCTGTAGACAGACAGTGACTTCAGTCCTTTCTTTTGCACATCGAGTATTAGCATAGATAGACAGAAGTATCATGCAATGATAATGGCCTTCATGAATCATCAAACATATCACGATCATATTATCCCCAATATCAATCAAACCCACAATCACCACCCCCGAACTCCACAGCCTAATTAATATGACAAACCGTCACCACACCCCCATCTAGCCATACATACCGTCCCACTCTTCCTCATCATCCTCAACCGGCTTCTTCCTCCTAGTCTCAGCCTTCTCCCTCTCCTGCTTCGCAAAATCCGTCCGATCAAGCGGACACGTGCCCCTCAACCTCAACCACGGCCGCACACACTCCAAATCAAAAAGATGCGTCGGATGACACGGTAACCGCACAACAAGTGGATACTTGTCCTCCAAAAATGCATTCCCGCAAATCGGACAACTCTGCGACGGCTTCAATGAGGCCTTAGGCACACGGTCCAGAACTAACCCCAAACCAAACAAACATCAGCACTAACCCAACCCCAACTTCAAAATAAAAAGGAGGAGAAAGAATACATACCATCGCAAAACTCCTCACTAACACCCTCGACCTCCCGCGGAGGCGTCTCGGCCGAGCTCAGCAAGCTCTGAATCATCTGCGTCAGGAGGTCATTATTGCCTTCGCCGGAAGTGGGTACGCTGTGGTCACCCTCGCGGCGCATCAGATCGAAGGCTTCGGCGAGGGAGTAGAAGGCTGCGCTCACGTCGCGCGGGACGGGAACGGCATGTTCTCTTGTGCGTGCTTCGTCGGGGCTTATTTCGGAGAGGGTCGCGAAGAAGGTGGAGAGGTCAGGGCGCCGACGGTGGGTTGAGGGCGTTGCTGTGCCCGGGTCTGTTGTATTGTGTTCAACTGTTTTTCTTTTGTTAGATCTTTTTTTTTTTTTTTTCTTCACTTCGCAGGG